CTCAGAGGTGTCAGTGGTGAGCGTGTCTTCACCTCCTCTTCCTCTGAGGCTTTTCTGGCTCTTCTGGGGCACCTGGTGCAGCCCAGCTGGGAGGAAAGCACCAACTCAGAGCTGGTAAATGAGGGGTTTGCCATGACCTGCAGAGCTCTGGGTGTTCCTGCCTGCTTTCCCTGAGCCTCTCATGGGGTTTGCAGGGCCAGGGCTCACTAAAAAATCAGAGTAAAGTCAGGATGAAGGGGAATTAGGATCCCTTAAAGCTCTGGTGTTGCCCCAGCTTGGTACCCAGAGAGCTGCCATGGGACAGAGGTGACATCTGCAGCTGCACGTGACATCCCTGTGGGGAGTGGGAGCACCAGTTAATTTGCTTCCAGAGGTTTGGGGCAGCAGTTTCTCCATCCCCTGCTCTGTCCAGTCCTCTGCTCTAGGGAAGGGCACCTGCCCCAAGCCATTCCATCCTCCTGCCAAGCAGGAGAAGCTTTTGTCCCCCCTCCACCTTCCAGGTGCCCTTTGCAGCCCCTGTGCTCGAGGGACTTTGCTCCAGAGGGGGCAGGTGACACACGAGGAGCCCCTCGGTGCTCCAAAGGGGGCAGGTGACACACAAGGAGCCCCTCAGTGCTCCAAAGGTGGCAGGTGACACACGAGGAGCCCCTCGGTGCTCCAAAGGGGCCAGGTGACACACGAGGAGCCCCTCAGGGCTCCAAAGGGGGCAGGTGACACACGAGGAGCCCCTCAGCACCCCCAGCTGTGGGATGGGCACTGTCCCCACCCCTGTGCCCGGGGCCAGGATGCTCCTGGCACTCAGATAGGATCTCTGGGCAGGGAGGGGAGCAGCCCTTTCTGTGGCAGCACTTTGAAAACATCATGTTTTCTTCAAAGCTGTGGGTTAAACCACAGAACAACTCTGCAAGCCTGAGCGAGGAGCAGATGAAGCCCAAGGTGGCGCCTTTTGAGTCAAGACAGCCCAAGCCCAGGAGCATTTGTCAAAAACCTCCAAAACCACCGGAGGGGCAGGTTTGTCACACCACTGTCACAGGCAGGGCTGGGGTGGGGATGGGGCTGGCAGGGGTCAGGGCTATGGCTGCAGAGTCCTTTGGTCCTCCAGGAAGCCACAGAACATCTTCAGGTTCTGTGGAGGGGGGGACGGTGGAAGCGTCCTTGGGCACAGCATCTGAGCAGCCTCTCAGAGGTGACAGCCACAAGCGTGGGTGGCAGGAGGTTCAGTTTCAGCCTGGTCACTGTCCCCTTCCTGTCTGGGTGGAAATAGCTGGGACACATCTGCCCGAGGATGCAGGAAGCAGAGCTGAGAGCTCCTCACCCCCAGTTCTGAGCATCTTCCTAATTCTGAGCCCTTTCACCTTCCTCTTCTGCCTCCACAGCAACTTCCACAAGTGGCTGCTGCCCTCCCTGCAGCCCCTGTCCCCTGACCATGGGCACCAGCACCCAGAGGGTCCCTCTTAGCCTGGGGGATGTGGCTGCCACCCCCACCCCACCCCCTGCCCCAGTGGGGACACAAATTCATCCCGTGGGTACCACAGCAGCGAGAGCAGCACCCAAACCTCTGTGTGGCAGCACACACCCATCCCCTGCTGCTCCCCGCCCTGTCCTGGGGGTCACCAACCCCTGTATCCCACCCATGGCCTCTCTGAGCCCTGTCCCCAAGCTGGGGAGCGCTGTCCCCTCCCTGGCAGGGACATGGGGCAGCTCCAGGCTGTGGGGAGGGCAGGGCTGAGGTGGCAGCAGTCGGAGGTGACAGCCTGAAGGGCCCGAGGGGAGCAGGGTGGGGCCCTGCTGGCACTCACCATGATGTCCCTGTGTCCCTCCCAGACAGATGCTCTTGGCTCCTGTCACCAACAGCCCGGGGCCATCCCGGAGCACTCGGATTTTGTCTTTCTGCTGTTACCAAGATTGTCACAAGCCGTCTTCCCTCCCACTTCCTCATTTTGCACCCTTTGCTCGTGGGGGGTGGGGAGGACAGTAGCAGCTTTGCTACCAGGGACTTGGGGGTGGCCCTGCCCGGGGTGTCCCCAGCTCTGCAGCTGCTGCTGGGTGAGACAGGATGCAGGACAGAGCCCAGCAGGGATGCTCAGAGCCTCGGTGACCTCTCCCCTCACCCTGATGGATGTCACCTGTTCAGCGGTGGCCAGTCAGTTCTTGGAGGTGGTTTTAGGAATGAGATGCTTTTGGTTGCATATTTTTCGTTGTTGTTTTTTTGGGGCTTTTTTTCCCCCCCTCCACTTGAGATGCAGAGAAAAGTGAGGTTACTACAGGAAACTGAGGTCCTGAGGCAGTTCTTGGCCACCCTGTCCCTGGCAGAGTTACAGGATGGTTTGGGTTAAAAGGGACCTTGAAGCCCATCCAGAGCCACCCCTGCCATGGCAGGGACACCTCCCACTGTCCCAGGCTGCTCCCAGCCCTGTCCAGCCTGGCCTTGGGCACTGCCAGGGATGCAGGGGCAGCCCCAGATGCTCTGAGAAATCCATTCCAGGGATGGATTCCACAATTCCTGATTGCCAAGATCCCATCCAGCCCTGCCCTCTGGCACTGGGAGCCATTGCCTGGCTCCTGTCCCTGCAGGCCTTGTCCCCCCAGTCCCTCTGCAGCTCTCCTGGAGCCCCTTCAGGCCCTGCCAGGGGCTCTCAGGTGTCCCTGGAGCCTTCTCTTGTCCAGGTGAGCAGCCCCAGCTGTGCCAGGCTGGCTCCAGAGCAGAGGGGCTCCAGCCCTTGCAGCATCTCCGTGCCTCCTCTGGCCTGGCTCCAGCAGCTCCACGTCCTCCTGCTGCTGTTGCCCAGGGCTGGGGCAGCTCTGCAGGTGGGGTCTCACCTGAGCACAGGGGCAGAATCCCCCCCTCCCCTGCTGGCCCAGTCCAGCATCACCAACATGGGGGGGGGTCTCTGTGTCATGGGGGAAATTCTTCCTCCACATCCTAAAGCAGCTCTGGGTGAATCCCCACCTCTCCCACTGCTCTGCTTCCCAAGGAAAACCCTCCCCTGCTTCCACACCCCTCTATTTGGGGTGGGTTGTGGTGCTGAGGGTGCCCAACCCTGTCGCAGACATCTTTTATGAAAAATTCTTTCCTTAGGATTTTTCCTCCTGAGAAGCTGAGAGGCCTCAGGAACACAATGTAAACAATGGTTATCTGCTGCTGTGGAATGCAACAGGTGGGTCTGTGATTGGTCTCATGTGGTTGTTTCTAATTAATGGCCAATCACAGCCCAGCTGGCTTGGACAGAGAGCCCGAGCCACAAGCCTTTGTTATCATTCCTTCCTATTCTATTCTTAGCCAGCCTTCTGATGAAACCTTTTCTTCTATTCTTTTAGTATAGTTTTAATGTAATATATATCATAAAATAATCAATCAGCCTTCTGAAACATGGAGTCAGATCCTCATCTCTTCCCCAATCCAAAAACCCCTGTGAACACGGTCCCACAACCCCAACCCCAGGCTGGAGGAACACAAGTGGGAGCAGAGGCTGTGCCCCGGATCGTAGCTACTCCTTTATTATAATTCATGCCTTACGTCGCTCCTCCTCAGAGTTAGTATGTTAAACATTGGTCAGTAGGATATATATCGATATAAAAATGGTGAAAACACCCCCTCCCCTCACCCAAAACCATCAGAACTGGAGCATGGCACCAGGAAGGAAGAGAAACGAGGTTTGCTGAGCACCAGAGAAGCTGCGATCGGCCGAGGAGCAGGTGGACACAAAAACGGAGCTGGGAGAGGAACACACAGGGGCTTTTCTGGGGGAGAAGGGGACTGTCCCCTCCCTGCACCACAGGGATGGCCCCAAGGGAACAAAACACGGCTCTGGACAAAGCTTTCCCATCGCTGTGATGTGGAAAGTCCTGAAAATAATCATCATCATTACAATTACAATGCCAACAAAAAGCTTTGGAGAGTTGAAGTCAGGTCTCCTCCACAGGCTGCCCATGGAGGAGTTGGCCCAGGTTTGGCCACCAGGTGACCTGGAGGAATTTCAAACCTGCTCTTTTCCCATCTCTGGAGGCCTCCTGTGGGCAGAGGGGTGGGTGGCACTGGGACTGGCACCTCGAGGCCATGGCCACACGTGGCCAGGCTGCCTTTGGAGGCAAAGCACCTTTTGGAGGCAAAGCACCTTTGGAAGTCAAGCACCTTTGGAAGAGAGGCTGAGGCTGTCTCTGGGGTGCCAGGCCCTGGGGACACTGTGCCAGGCCCATTCTTGTCCTGCACCCTCCTGTGCTGCTCTCCCTGAGCCTGGCACAGCCTCGATGCCCATGCAGGAACTGCAGCCCCCAGCACGCCTCTGCCCCCAGCTCAGGGGCAAAATCTGGTCCTAAAACTGACAAGGGCAAACAGGGGAACAGCCCAATCCAAGTTGGTGGCTATGGGAGTTTAGAGAACCCTCTCCCAGTTGAACTGAGGGTGTCACCCTCAGCTCACGGGGTGGCCTGATCCCAGTCCTGAGGTGACAGGGTGCAAACCAAGGGACAAAATCCCTGCTCCAGCCCCACTCCCCACAGCAGCTCCTCTTCACCCATCACCCAGGAGCCACAAGCCACGCTGGCCACCCCAGGCACCTGAACCCTCCTCCCTGGCTCCCCTGGGGTCCCGAGGGAAGGGCAGGAGCCCCTGGAGTGCCCAAGCCCCGCAATGGTGCCCTGGGGACACGGAGCAGGATGAGACAGGAGCGGGGAGAGCGGTGCCGCCTCCCCCAGCGGGACCTGGCTCCGCTACTAATAAATAACAACATCAGAATTTCAAGTAAAGTCCCTGCTCTGCCCAGCTCCCCCCTCTCCCAGCACTCATCCAGCTGGGGCTGCAGTGGTTGAACTGGGATCCTGCCTCTGTCAAGCTCGGGGGGCCAAGGGGATCTGTGGGGGACGGGTTTGGGTGATGCCCGTGGGAGCGTGACCGGAGTCTGTGCGGGAGCCAGGAGAGGTTCCCGGGGAGGGCAGGGCCCTCCAGTGAAGCTTTGGCCTTCCAGTTTTGCCACGGGGGTCCCGCTGTGTCCCGCTGTGTCCTAGTGGCCCTGGCAAGTTTTACAGCACATCTGTCGGAAGTAGGTCCGGCTGCAGAACTTGAACTTGAGGACCAGCGGGCAGTAGGCCACCTTGTTCACATCCTTGCACTCTGCAGGGGACACAGAGGGGGAGCAGGGTCACAGACATGCAGCCACATTTCTCTTCACAGAGAAAAGCAAGGCACAGTTCTGCCCAAGAATATTTCTGGGTTTCACGTTCTCTGAACCTCAGAGAAAGGAAAAACGATTCTTATCATTTGCTGTGCCCGTGTTTGTGCCAAAGTGTTGTAGACATCTTTTATGAAAAATCTTTTTTTTAAGATTTTTCCTCTTGAGAAGCTGAGAGCCTCAGGAACAAAATGTAAACCGTGGTTATCTGCTGCTTTGGAATGCAACAGGTGCATCTGGGATTGGCCCATGTTAGATGTTTCTAGTTAATGGCCAATCACAGCCTAGCTAGCTCAGACAGAGTCCAAGACAGAGCCTTTGTTATCATTCTTTTCTATTCTATTCTTAGCCAGCCTTCTGATGAAATCCTTTCTTCTATTCTTTTAGTATAGTTTTAATGTAATATATATAATAAAATAATAAATCAGCCTTCTGAAACATGGAGTCAAATTCTCGTCTCTTCCCTCAACCTGAGACCCCCTGTGAACACTGTCACACCAAAGCAGAATGTAATATGGAGATGGTTTACCCAAAGTGGTGGTGTTTTGGTTCCTTGGCCTGTCAGGGCCAAGTGTGTGTGTGTGTGTGTGTGTGATGACAAGTCATGAGATTCTGTGCAGTTGTATGCAGAGTTGAGTGCTTGTCAGATTCAGTTTAGATGTAATGTAATATACTATAGAATAATGTGGTATAATAAAGTAATTAATTAGCCTTCTGATAAGATGGAGTCAGATGCATCATTTCTCTCCCCTTTGCCATGGGTTCCCTGCAAGTTTGATAAGTGGTGACCCCGACGTGATGAGAACATGCAGCCTTCTGCTCTGGAGTCAGATGCATCATTTTCTGTCCCTTTGTTGGAGGTACCCTGAAAATTCGATAGAGCCAGGCTGAGAAGATCCTGGGGGAGGCTTTGTCAGGGAGCTGAAGATGCAGCTGTGATGAAGAAACTGCTGAGGACCTCACCTAATGAAAATCTGTCTTTGCCAGGGTGCAGTTCCTGCATGTGGCACTCACATTCTCTGAGCACAGAGACATAATTATCTCTCCCAGGATTTTTCCTGGGTAGGCAGTGAGAAGCACAGAGAAAAGAGGAGAAAACAATTCTTATCCCTATTCACTGCTCCTGTTGTTTTGCACCTGTGGAATGGGTTATGGAGAAGGATTCCTGCCCAATATCCCATTCTCCCTAAATTTTATAAATGTTGGTCTATTAGCATATTGGAGTTAATTCTCCAATTCCAGCCCCAGCCCATACAGTCCCAACCTTCTTATTTTTCTCTCTTTAGCCCATGTTGTTTGTGCTCTTGGGTCTGAGACTTGGATCATTTGTCCTTGGTCCCCAGCTGGAGCAGCCTGGTCTTGGACACTTCCAGGGATGGCATCTCCCCACCCCAGAGCCCAGCTGGTGCTGTGCTGGCTCCAATGTCCCTGTCCCCAGTGGGACACGTGTCCCCTCTGCATCATGCCTCACCTTCAGGGTTGTCCGTGGGCCCCGACTCGCACTTGGTCTCGCACTGCTGCATCCCAGGGGGCTGCAGGGCCTCCACGCACTCCATGGACGGCTGCCCGGTGTGGGCCAGGCACTGGACGGATCTCCTCTGCTGGCCCAGGCCACACTGGGCAGAGCACTGTGGGGACAGCACAAGGGAACTGCCAGGGCCACCAGCAAGGTGACAGGAGCAGGGACAGACGGGGGTTAGGGGGTGCAAAGGGTGCTGGAGGGGGTTGCTTCTTCCCTTCTTGGCATGAGTGAGTGATGTGGCCCTGCATCCCAAAAAAGCTTGGTTTGATTCTGCAGGGCTCAGGGAGGATCCTACATCCAGCCCTAAATCCCTGGCCTTTCCCAAACCTCCTTCACCCTAACATCACCCTGCAGCTCGAGGGGTGCTCAGGGCAGGGAGTGTGGCCTCAGCTCCCTTCACAGAGAGCAGCAGGCGCAATTTCCCAAAGATTTGTCCTGGGAAATGCAGCAAGAAACCTCAAAGAAGAGAAAACAATTCTTATCTCCACTTGCTGCTCCTGTTTTTGCACATGTGGAATGTGTTATGGGGATTGTTTACCAAAAGTGATTTAGTTAATTGGACAATAGTAAAAGTTGTTCTGAGTGATTAGCCAATCACCCAAAGCTGTGTTCTGGCTGTCTCAGACAGTCATGGGTTTTTCTTTAGTATAGTATCTGTTTAGTATAGTTTTAATATAGTATTACTGCAATATAGTATAGTTTTAATAAAACAATTGTATAGTTTTAATATACAAGTAAGTAAGTATATATATATATATATACATATATATATACAAGTAAGTATATATATAGTATAGATATAGAGTATAGTTTTAATAAAACAATTGTATAGTTTTAATATAGTATTACTGTAATATAGTATAGTTTTAATAATACAATTTTTTCTGAATCATAGAGTCAGATGCCAATCATTCCCTGCATCAGGGGCTCCCTGAATTTGGTACAGGGAGAACTGCCAGGGTCACCCCACTGGGCTATGGGAGGACCAGCAGTGGCCCTGCTTTGCAATAGGACCAGCCCACCCCTGCTGACCCCCAGCCACCCACGGGGACCCTTCAATTACTTCTGTGGAGTCCTGCCAGGCCTGGGACACCCCCAGGGTCACCACAAACAAGCCAAAAAGGGGGAAAAACCACTGCCATTTGTCCCTGGATAATTGTGGTGGCCACCCAGGCTCCTGCTGGCCCATGAAGGTCAGGATCTGAAGGGCTGGGGAGGCTCCTCCTGCCATCCCCCCATGGGGAGGGCTGTCCCTACCTCTCCCCACTCGCCGGTGACCCAGCGGGGTGGGGGGCAGCGCCGCAGGTTGCACCTCATGCTGGTGGGGGGCTTGGTGGCCTCGTGGCACTGGGAGGTGGGCAGGGTGACGCTGTGGTCGCCGCTCTTGCACAGCACGATGCGGTGGCGGAAGCCGGGCCCGCAGCTCGGGGTGCACTGCAGGGACAGGGGACACGGTCAGGGAGGGGACAGAGGCAGCTCTGGTTCCTCCCCCTGCTGCTCCCACCTCTCCTGGCTCCTGAGATACCACATTGTCACACTCCATAGTGTCACAGTGATTGGCACTGTGCTCCTGGAGCAGCGCCCTCAGGGAGGGGAGAGACTGTGTCAATCACAGAATCAGAGAATCCTGAGCTGGATCCCACAGGGATCATCAAATCCAGCCCCTGTCCCTGCACAGGCACCCCAAGAACCCCACCCTGAGCAGCCCTGGCAGCTCCTGGAGCTGTGGCAGCCTTGGCACCATTCCCTGGGGAGCCTGGACAGTGCCCAGCAGCCTTGGGGGGCAGAATCTTGCCCTGAGCTCCATGCCAAGGCCTGGCCCAGCTCCAGCCCTTGCTGGGCTCCTGTCCCTGTCCCAGAGCAGAGCTCAGCCCCTGCCCCTGTGCCTGCCCTGGGCAGGAGCTGCAGCCCCTGAGAAGCCCCCTGCAACTGCTGCTACAACCAGCCCCAGCACCCCGTAATAAGGGGAGGGCTTAGATGCAACTGCCAACCCCCCTAAAACAAAGCACAACCCTAAAAATAAAACAAATTCTATCATAAATTCCTACTCGGCCTCTCTCCAAGATCTATGGCCTGAAAAACCATTATTAAAAAATTTAACTACAGGAATGCCAAGTGCCCTCAGCTGAATGAGCCAAGTGCCCCCAGCTGCTCCTCAGCCCTTCCCCAGCTCCGTGTCCCTCCTTTGGGCACTCACCTCCGACCAGTCCAGGGCCACCCACTCGGGAGGACACGTTTGGTTGTTGCAGGGCTCCAGCATCTTGGGCCGTGGCTGGCTGCAGGAGGCATCATCCAGGGTTTTCTCCTCGCTGGCAGAGATCTTCCTCTTGCAGAAGACGCTGCGGGTCCGGACGCCCTCGTTGCAGCTGCGGCTGCACTCGGACCAGTTCCCAATGGCCCAGCTGGGGATGGGGAACAGCAGAGCTGGGCTGGGCTGGGCTGGGCTGGTCCCCAGAGCCCTGCACTTGGCCCTGGCCCTTCTGCAGCCACAGCCTCCCAGGCAGCTCTGGCTGAAGCACTGAGTCCCTGCACATCTTCCCCTTCAGGACAGGAGCCAGGGAAGGGCTGGCACAATTCCTCACTGAATATCTGGGACACAGAGGAGAAACCCCCACCCCATTCCTCAGCAGAGCTGCAGTGTCACCAGTGGGGACTGTGACTTGGGGATGGCAGCCAGGGGGGAATTTCACTCTCTGCTACCCATGTCTTCCTCCCTGGCTCCCTGCCTGTGCTCCAGGTATTTTGGATAAAGTCTTTTTTTTTTTTACTTAGAGATGGGGTAACTGAGAAGTGTTTTAAAAAATTAAATTTAAAAATTAAATTTAAAAATTTAAATTTAAAATTTTCATTTTTAAAATTAAAAAATTAATTTTAAAAACTAAATTTAAAATTTCAATTTTAAAATTTAAATTAAAAAATTTAATTTTAAAAACTAAATGTATAAATTTAATTTAAATTTTAAATTTTAAAATTTATTTTAAAATTAATTTAATTGTAATTTTTTTTCTATTTTTAGTGTCATGTGAAGAGTAAGACAATATAGATGCTATAATTTATGCTAGTATAATAAGAAGTGAACTATTTCTTAATTACAATATAAGTGTTTATTGGCTTATCAGTTTTTGCTAGACTATGTTGTAAATGCTTTAAAGCTATTATCTAAAATGTGTTTAATATCATTAATAATAATAAATATATTATCATTATACTAATAATATTAGATAATAATATTAGTATAATTAGTATTATATTATTATATTAGTATAATTAGTATACTATTAGTATCATAGTATATTATTATTATCTAATAATATTAGATAATTAAAAAATAGAAATATTATTTTCTAATACTAATACTAATACTATTACAAAAATTATTTAATAATACTAATATTATTATCTAAAATTATCTAGAGCAATTATGATCTAACATTACTCTCCGTGGGTCTATCTTTCATAGTTCTATTTCTCCAAAGAAATGTTGATCTCCTAAATCAACATTTCTTATCTCAAAATTTACGTACAAATCCGTACTATATAAACTTTCCGTTAAAGTTCAACAGAAAAAAATAAATAACAACAACAACAACATAACAACAACAACAACAACAATAATAACAATTCCTCATTTCCCACGTTGTTACTCACGCAGGGGGACAGGGCTCGGTGTTGCAGCTCCTCTGTCGCTCGGGCACTTTGGTGTCAGCGCTGCAGAAGTGGTTGGGGACAGTTGAGCCATCAGAGAGCTTCCTGCACACCACAGACTGGATCTGGCTGCCTGCCCAGGGAGAAGAGGGAAGGGGAAAAGGGAGGCTGAGGCTGTGATGTCTCAAGTTTGAGCTTTTCTATTTTTCAGGTTCTGTGCTGCTTTAGTGGGTGGGTCTGAGCCTTATATCAGGGGATGGTGAGCTCTGTGCACAGAGCAGGGAGACAAAACAATTCCTGCTCCAGCTGGGGACCAAGGACAAATGATCTAAGTCTCAGGCCCAAGAGCACAAACAACATGGGCTAAAGAGAGAAAAACAAGGATGGGACTGGATGGGCTGGGGCTGGAACTGGACAATGAACTCCAATATGCTAATAGACTAACATTTATAAAAGTGAGAGTGGGATCTTGGGAATCAGGAATTGTTCCCTGGCAGGGTGGGCAGGCCCTGGCACAGGGTGCTCAGAGGAGCTGGGGCTGCCCCTGCATCCCTGGCAGTGCCCAAGGCCAGGCTGGACAGGGCTGGGAGCAGCCTGGGACAGTGGGAGGTGTCCCTGCCATGGCAGGGGGTGGGAAAATTCACTATTTAAGGTCCTTCCACCCATACCTGTGGCCCAGCTGAAGATGGCACCCAGGTTCTTTGCCCTGGCACAACTCCCACATGGCTGAGTGTGGGGTGGGGCTGTGTAAAGGCCTCAGAGGTCCAGACACAGCACAGGGGGGGTCCCACATGTCCCCCCAAAGGTGCCCAGCACCAGAGCTCACCCCCTGCACACAGCACAGAGCACTTGGTCCATGGGGTGTAGTGCCAGGAGTAGAGGCTGGAGCCGTCCCTGCCCACGGGAGCGTTGAACTTGTAGCGGATCCCCTGCAGCTCTGTCCTCACCAGCACCTGCAGGAAAGGCACCCCCAGGACATCAGTGCCACCACAGTGACCACCCAGCTGGCATCCCACAGCCTCTCTAGCAGGCTGGAATATTCCCCTGTCCCCTTCAGCCCCTCCCAGTGCTGGCAGGGCAGCCTCCAGTGCTGACAGTGACGCTCGATCAGAGAATGAGCTCCCAGGCACTCAAGGGTGGAATCATCCCAAAACCTGACAGATTAGGGCAGCAGACCTGAGAATTAGGGAGGGAAGTCTGGGAGTGCCCAGTGGATAAAGGACTGGCCCCCCAAGGCAGGGACTGTGGGCTCCTGTCCCACCTGGGGTGACTCTTTCAAGGCTGGATGTGGCACTCAGTGACACAGTCTGGCTGATAAGGTGGTGTCAGGTCACAGCTTGGTCTCAAGCGGCTTTTCCAAGCTAATTCTGTGATTTACTGTGTGAATTCAGCCCAATTTACCTCTGCCCCCTGTGTCCCTTTACCCCCAACAGCCACACCAGGGGCTGATCAGCTCCAACCCCCAGGCAGCCACAGCAAGATCTGTCTCAGACATCTTTTATGGAAAATCCTTTCCTCAGGATTTTTCCTCCTGAGAAGCTGAGAGGCCTCAGGAACACAATGTGCACAATGGTTATCTGCTGCTGTGGAATGCAACAGGTGCATCTGGGATTGGTCTCATGTGGTTGTTTGTAATTAATGGCCAATCACAGCCCAGCTGGCTCAGACTCTGTCTGAGATACAAGCCTTTGTTATCATTCCTTCCTATTCTATTCTTAGCCAGCCTTCTGATGAAATCCTTTCTTCTATACTTTTAGTATAGTTTTAATATAATATATATCATAAAATAATAAATCAGCCTTCTGAAACATGGAGTCAGATCCATGTTCCCTCATCCTCAGACCCCTGTGAACACCGTCACACTGATCCTTCCAGCCCAACGCAGGCCCACACCAGGAGGGGTATGAAGGTACCAACCATGACAAAGAGGGTGATGTTGGTGGGTCCCAAAGCCTCCAGCGACTCGGGCTCCTCAGGGGACCTCCTGTAGTGGAAGGTGGTGCCGGCGATGTCGAAGCGCCGGGGGGGATCGATGGAGAGCTTCCCGTTGATGAAATATTCCCCACTGTCCCCTCGCAGCGCTGCCAGCACAGGGGAGGGGGCTCAGCACAGAGCTCAGGGCACCTGGGCCAGCCTCAGCCAGGTGCTGCTCACCTGCAGGGCTCAGAGCATCGCTAAAGGGCACCAGGGAGGGCACAGGGGCACCGATGGGCCCGCGGTGCCTCCCCAGCACCTCCCTGGCCACGCAGCCAGGCTCAAACCCAGCTGTGCATGCTGGGTCGGTGTGGGAATCCACAAAATCAGAGGGTTTTGGGAAAGCTGCAGAAGGCAGGCCTCAGAGGCAGCCTTTGTGATTAGAGCCAAGCAGTACTGTCACAGACATCTTTTATGGAAAATCCTTTCCTTAGGATTTTTCCTCCTGAGAAGCTGAGAGGCCTCAGCAACAAAATGTGCACAATGGTTATCTGCTGCTGTGGAATGCAACAGGTGCATCTGGGATTGGCCCATCTTAGATGTTTCTAATTAATGGCCAATCACAGCCCAGCTGGCTCGGAGAGAGAGTCCAGGACAGCTGCCTTTGTTATCATTCCTTCCTATTCTATTCTTAGCCAGCTTTCTGGTGAAACCTTTTCTTCTATCGTTTTAGTAAAGTTTAATGTAATATATATCATAAAATATTAAATCAAGCTTTCTAAAACACGGAGTCAGATCCTCATCTCTTTCCTCATCCAAGAATCCCTGAGAACATGGTCACGGAGTAGCCATGAGATAGATCAGCAGAAAAATGATGTAAAAAGTACAAAAGTAAGGACAAATAGAACAATGGTCTGTGTATTAACACTTGTCTGGTATAACTCCCTAAGCTACAGAAAAGTTTATCTAGCAAGATATTAGGAAGTTTGAAGCTTAATAATGGAGCTCTGTGTTTTAAGGCTCACAAGTAGGTATTGTATTCGAAATAAGCAAGCATTGTTCAACCAAAAGTACGTGTGCTTATAGTGCTTGGATAGAACTACTGTCAATGTGCTTTTGCTTTGTGTGATTGGTCAAAAAACTTATAAAGTAAGTTGTAACATTAAGTTTTTGGTCTGCTGGTGGCATCTTCCATTGTCACAACCACGTAATGAGACTGATGCCGAAAAATAAAACAGCTCAAGGCAGTTCCCCAGCAGTCCCATCCTGCTGGTGATTTGTTCATGGATCCTGGCCGGCGATGGTCGGGGCTGCTGGAGCTGCTGGGGCCCGGAGCAGGGCTGTGGTTGCCCGGCAGAGTCGCTAGAGGGGGATCGGAGCGTTCGCTCCTGCTCCTGCCTTTCCTCCGCTCCCCCGAGCTCCGGGCACCGCTGCCCTGCCCGGGACGCGGGGGATGCTGCGCGCTGCGGGGGCTGGAGGATGCTCCCTCCATCGGGGATGCTCGGAGGGATGCCAGAGTGTCAAACACTGTCCTGAGAGCGCAGGAATGCAGAAAGGAGCCCCCACACACCGGGCAGGGAGGGATGGAGCCAGGAGAATCCTGCTGGCACCCGGCAGCATCCAGGGAGAGCAGCCTGCCCTGCCCCACACCGCTCGGGGGACAGGGAGGAAAAAAGGGGAAAGAAAATCCTCGTGGTGAAAGCAGGGCTGAGCAAGGCTGGGAAACCAAGCCCGAGGAAAATGTGAGCGTTTTTAATCCCCAGGAGGGCAGAGGGGAGATGGCAGGAGCTGAGGGAGGTGGGGTTTGCTCAGGGTTGTGGTGCTAACACAGGACAGGGACACTGGGGGACACACACAGCCCTGCTGCCTTCTCCTGCTCCAAATCCCAGCCTGGGAACCCCAAATCCCCATTCCCAGCTGCAGTGGGAAGTGCTCCCTGCATTTCCCTGTTAATCCCAGGCTGGGGACCCAGCCCCAGCCCCAGCTCACCCAGGTAGTTGATGGAGAGGTTCAGCTCCCGGATGTCGATGTGCACAGAACCCTTGGGGATCTGGATCACCTCCTCATAACCTGTGGGACAAGCAGGTGAGCAGCATTTTCAGCCTCCAATCCCAGAGCCAGAGCTGCCCTGGGCTGGATGGGAGTGTGAGCCAACCCCTTACCCATGGGGAAACGATGGAAAAAGCATTTGGGGCACCAGAATGGAGCGGGTTTGCACTGGGGGCTCCTGTGGTGGGACTGGGAATGTGCTGTGGAGTTGGGATCAACCCTGGGGAGCAGGGAAGGGGCTTGGAGCTCTGTGTCAGAGATTTGGGCACCACTGGAGGCTGGGGCACTGTAGGGATGTGCCCCTTGTTGAGGGAGTGACAGAACTATTCTTTGTCCCCTTAAAAAGGAAAAAAGCCCAGAAGTTTCTCTCCTGGATTAGGTGAAAAGACACCTCATAGGATTTGGGGGACTTCACTTCAAATTTAAGGACAGCCAATTGGACAGAAGCCAAAAAGTCTCACCTGAGTAACTTACTAGAAAAAGAAAGAGAACAAAAACCAATGGCTTTTGTGAGGTGTTTTACTAGGGGCAAGAACCTCTTGCACCTGGCTGGGTTTTTCTCTGTAAAGAGTTTTGTTATTTTGCCTTTTATTAAAACTTTTCTGTTTCCAACACTACCACAGAACCATCCTACTGATTTTATGCCTTCTAAGGTAGCTGAGCTATTTTTCAGGGATATCCCACATTTCAAGGAACAGGGAACAGCAACCACCCTCTAAACACTTTTAGTTTCCAACCCTACCACAGAAACCTGTTGATTTTATGCCTTCTAAGGTAGCTGAGCTATCTTGGGTGTTATACAGATCTCCAAGAGCTGATGAGACCTGGCTCAAGGAGATATTTCAGGGATATCCCATATTTCAGGGAACAGGTAACAGCCACCACCCTCTAAACACTTTTTGTTTCCAACACTACCACAAATCCTGTTGATTTTATGCCTTCTAAGGTAGCTGAGCTATCTTGGGTGTTATACAGATCTCCAAGAGCTTATGAGACTCGAGGAGACCCCTATTTCAGGGAACAGGGAACAGCAACCACTCTCCAAAGCAACAATTTTTGTTTCCAACACTACCACAGAAGCCATCCTACTGACTTTACACCTTCTAAGGTAGCTGAGCTATTCTGGGTGTGAAATAGATCTCCAAAAGCTGATGAGACCTGGCTCAAAGTGTCTCCTGTTTCACAGCACAGCTTGGCTGGTGGACGGGAGGGATTTGCTGCCTGGTGCCACCCCTTGGGACTGAGCTCTGGGGTTTGTCCCTGCCTGTCCCCGGGGGCAGGTGAGGAGGAGGAGGGGCTGGAGGGTGAGCAGGCTGTTTGTTCCCTACCTCCCTCGGGCAGGGAGTGGTTGAAGACGCCCTCGATGGTCTCGCAGGAGCTGCCGTCGCCCCCGCACACCCGGCACTTGTCCTCCTTGGAGTCGGAGCCCAGCACCCGGTCACAGCCCACGTGCTGTGGGGAGGAGCAGCAGCAATGAGGGACCCTGCTGTCCCCTCAGTGTCACAGACAGCTTTTATGGAAAATCCTTTCCTTAGGATTTTTCCTCCTGAGAAGCTGAGAGGCCTCAGGAACACCATGCAAACAATGGTTATCTGCTGCTGTGGAATGCAACAGGTGCATCTGGGATTGGTCTCCTGTGGTTGTTTCTAATTAATGGCCAATCACAGCCCAGCTGGCTCAGACAGAGAGCTGAGCCACAAACCTTTGTTATCATTCCTTCCTATTTTATTCTTAGCCAGCCTTCTGATGAAATCCTTTCCTCTATACTTTTAGTATAGTTTTAATGTAATATATATCATAAAATAATAAATCAGCCTTCTGAAACATGGAGTCAGATCCTCGTCTCTTCCCCAATCCAGAAACCCCTGTGAACACGGTCACACAATTCCCCTTTGTTCCACTGCCCCGTGGAGAAAAACAGATCCCAGAGATGCAGGAAGGGAGGCAGACAGACACACAGCCTGTCTGTCTGTCTGTCTGTCTGTCTGCCTGCTGGGGGATGTTGGCCACTCCCACAGAGCTTTCTTATAATGAACTTTTACAGCTCCCCCCAGATCCCATTGCAAGGGAAACATCAAAGGGGCAGGGGCTGGGAGTGCAGGGATCCATCTGTGAGGCAGGGAGTGCAGAGAGGATGGGAATGTTCCTGCTCCCACTGAGTCTCCAGGCAGAGAAACCATGGAATTAGGGGATGGTTTGGGCTGGAAGGGACCTCAAAGCTCATCCAGAGCCATGGCAGGGACACCTCCCACTGTCCCAGGTGCTCCCAGCCCTGTCCAGCCTGGCCTTGGGCACTGCCAGGGATGCAGGGGCAGCCCCAGCTGCTCTGGGCACCCTGTGCCAGGGCCTGCCCACCCTGCCAGGGAACAATTCCTGATTGCCAAGATCCCATCCAGCCCTGCCCTCTGGCACTGGGAGCCATTGCCTGGCTCCTGTCCCTGCAGGCCTTGTCCCCAGGCCCTCTGCAGCTCTCCTGGAGCCCCTTCAGGCCCTGCCAGGGGCTCTCAGGTGTCCCTGGAGCCTTCTCTTGTCCAGGTGAGCACCCCCAGCTCTCTTAACCCTCCACCCATCCCAGGTCTGTGTGAGCAGTTTGAGGGCAGCGCTTGCCTGCCCTGGGGTCTGTCCCTGTCCCCTCTGCCCAGAGATCTGTCCTTACCCCCCTGCCCAGGGGTCTCTGTCCCTGTCCCCCATTCCTGGGTGTCTGTCCTTGTCCCCTCTGCCCAGGGGTTCTGTCATTGTCCCCTGTTCCAGGGGTCTGTCCTTGTCCCCCCTACCCTAGGGGCTCTGTCCCTGTCCCCTGTGCTCTGGGGGTCTGTCCTTATCCCCCCATTCCCAGGGCTCTGTCCCTGCCCCCTATCCCAGGAGTCTGCCCTTGTCCCCTCTGCTTTGGGTCTGTGTTTGCTTCCCTTTCTTGGGGTCTGTTTCTGTCCCCTCTGCCCAGAGTTCTGTCCTTGTCCCCTCTGCCTGGGGGTCTGTTCCTGTCCCCCCATCCCAGGGCTCTGTCCTTGTCACCCTGCCTGGGGTTTTGTCCTTGTCCCCCATTTCCAGAGCTCTGTCCTTGTCCCTCGTTCCCAGGGCTCTGTCCCTGTTTCATCTGCCCCAGGCTCTGTCCATGTCCCCCATCCCGGGGTCTGTCCTTGTCCCCCCTGCTTCAGGTCTGTCCATGTCCCCCCTGCCCCGGGCTCTGTCCATGTCCCCCATCCTGGGGTCTGTCCATGTCCCCTCTGCCCAGAGTTCTGTCCTTGTCACCCTGCCTGGGGTTTTGTCCCTGTCCCCCATTTCCAGAGCTCTGTCCTTGTCCCCTCTGCCTGGGGGTCTGTCCCTGTCCCCCCTGCCCAGAGATCTGTCCATGTCCCCCATCCCAGGGCTCTGTCCTTGTCCCCCCTGCCCCGGGCTCTGTCCTTATCCCCTCTGCTTGGGGCTCTGTCCTGTCCCCCCTGTTTTGGGTCTGTCCTTGTCCCCCATTCCCGAGTCTGTCCCTGTCCCCCCCATCCCAGGGCTCTGTCCCTGTCCCCCATCCTGGGGTCTGTCCTTGTCCCCCCTGCTTCAGGTCTGTCCTTGTCCCCCCTGCCCAGAGATCTGTTCTTATCCCCTCTGCTTGGGGCTCTGCCCCTGTCCCCCCTGTTTTGCCTCTGTCCCTGTCCCCAATTCCCGAGTCTGTCCCTGTCCCCCATCCCAGGGCTCTGTCCCTGTCCCCCATTCCCGAGTCTGCCCCTGTCCCCCCCATCCCAGGGCTCTGTCCCTGTCCCCCATTCCCGAGTCTGTCCATGTCCCCCCTGTTTTGGGTCTGTCCTTGTCCCCCATTCCTGAGTCTGTCCCTGTCCCCCCATCCCAGGGCTCTGTCCCTGTCCCCCATTCCTGAGTCTGTCCCTGTCCCCCCATCCCAGGGCTCTGTCCCTGTCCCCCATTCCCGAGTCTGTCCTTGTCCCCCATTCCCGAGTCTGTCCCTGTCCCCCCTGTTTTGGGTTTGTCCTTGTCCCCCATCCCAGGGCTCTGTCCCTGTCCCCCATTCCCGAGTCTGTCCCTGTCCCCCCATCCCCGGGCCCTGTCCCTGTCCCACCTTGCACTCCCCGTTGACGCAGATGTCATTGGAGTCCTGCCTGCAGGGCGTTCCATCCACCACGGCCGCCGCTCTCTCCGTGTAGAAGTTGAAGCCCTCGGCCAGGCAGTTGAGGGAGCACGCCTTGACACCCCCTGGGGAAGGAGCACAGCTTCAAACGGGTCCAAAAGTGTTGCAGTCAGGGAGAAAAATCACAGAGGCTTCCTAAAATCATCATAAAATCAAGCTGCTCTCCTGGAATCAGTAGAAATAGCATAAAATGTTCCTAAAGTCTTCATAAAATCAAACCTGCTCTCCTGAAATCAGTAGAAAGAGCATAAAGGCTTCATAAAATGAAACCTGCTCTCCTGGAATCAGTAGAAATATCATAAAATGCTCATAAAATCTTTACAAAATCAAACCTGCTCTCCCGGAATCAGTAGAAATATCATAAAGGCTTCATAAAATCATCAAACCAAACCTGCTCTCCCGGAATCAGTAGAAATATCATAAAGGCTTCATAAAATCATCAAACCAAACCTGCTCTCCTGGAATCAGTAGAAATACCATAAATTCTTTATCAAATCAAACCTGCTCTCCTGTAATTAGTGGAAATATCATAAAGGCTTCATAAAATCCTCATAAAATTAAATCTGCTCTCCTGGAATCAGCAGAAATATCATAAAATCTTCATAAAATAAAACCTGCTCTCCTGTAATCAGTAGAAATAGCATAAAAGCTTCATAAAATCTTCATAAAAATCAAGCCTGGTCTCCTGTAATCAGTGGAAATATCATAAAGGCTTCATAAAATCCTCATAAAATCAAGCCTGCTCTACTGGAATCAGTAGAAATACCATAAAATCTTTATCAAATCAAACCTGCTCTCCCAGAATCAGTAGAAATAGCATAAAGGCTTCCTAAAATCTTCATAAAATTAAATCTGCTTTTCTGGAATCAGCAGAAATATCATAAAATCTTCATAAAATAAAACCTGCTCTCCTGGAATCAGTAGAAATAGCATAAAAGCTTCATAAAATCTTCATAAAAATCAAGCCTGGTCTCCTGCAATCAGTGGAAATATCATAAAGGCTTCATAAAATCCTCATAAAATCAAGCCTGCTCTCCTGGAATCAGTAGAAATATCATAAAATGTTCATCAAATCAAACCTGCTCTCCCAGAATCAGTGGAAATATCATAAAGGCTTCCTAAAATCTTCATAAAATTAAATCTGCCCTTCTGGAATCAGCAGAAATATCATAAAATGTTCATAAAATAAAACCTGCTCTCCTGAAATCAGTAGAAATATCATAAAATCTTCATAAATTCCTCATAAAATCAAGCCTGCTCTCCTGGGATCCGTAGAAATATCATAAAATCTTCATAAAATCATCAAACCAAACCTGCTCTCCTGGAATCAGTGGCAAAGCCAGCACTTTGCAAGTTCCCATGTGAAAGCAATCCTGGCGTGAGCATTTTGTTAATATAAAAATCTGTTCCTGGGTGACAAACAACCAGAACCTGTATAAACTGTTTTTAGACAGAAAAATGAAAACTATCCCTCACAAACAACTTTTCCTGCAGGTACACACCAGGGTTTGAGTGACCAATCAATATAAAATAACTTATTACTAATCAATAAATTGGCAAGAAAGCTACTGACCAATTGGAGTCACACAGAATAAAATGGTATAAAATGGTAAAATGGTATAAAAAGGAGAATAAAGAATTTATCCTTTTGTGAATAAAGAATGGGTTTTTTTCCACCCTGAAGAAAATGGGATCTGTGGGGTTTATTCCCATAAGAAAGGATGTGGAAAACCAGGGGGATGCCCCTGGAGGAGGGAGCCAGGCCCTTGAGCTGGACACAGGCCCTGGATGTGACAGGGAAGGGAACAAAGTGATTTGTTCTTATCTGGGTCACTCCTGGCACTTACAGGCTGTAAAACCCTTCTGCCTGCTTTACAAACAGGGAAACTGAGGCAGCAGCTCCTGAGGAACCTTTCCAAGGTTTTCTTTTCAGCTGCCAGAGCAGAAGAACAAAGTTACTGAGGCAGAGAAACCCTTCCTTCCTGCCCTAGGGGAATCCTTCCGAGCAAAGGTGATGAGGATGAAGGAGAAGGATCTTAAAGTTACAGCTGAAATTTCTGTATTTTCCTATATTTTCACCCAAATATCTGTGGATGAAGTGCCTGGAGCAGGATGTGGCTCCAGCAGAGCATTCCTTGCCTGCTGCCACTGGTGTGGCTTGAGGATGAAGGAGAAGAATCTTTAGGTTACAGCTGAAATTTCTGTATTTTCTGTATTTCCCAACAACGTTTTCCAAAGCATCACCTCAGGAACAGCACCCAAATATCTGTGGATGAAGTGCCTGGAGCAGGATGTGGCTCCAGCAGAGCATTCCCTGTCTGCTGCCATGGGATTTTCTCAGACCCTGTTGTGTCTTGAAGATGAAGGAGAAGCCACAGCTGAAATTTCTGTATTTCCCTATATTTTCACCCAGATATCCAGTGATATTAGGGTTATATGAATATGAAGTGCCTGGAGCAGGATGTGCCTCCAGCAGGGCATTCCCTGTCTGCTGCCATGGGATTTTCTCAGCCCTGGGTGTGGCTTGAGGATGAAGGAGAAGGATCTTAAAGTTACAGCTGAAATTTCTGTATTTTCCTATCTTTTCACCCAAATATCTGGATGAAGTGCCTGGGTGCAGGATGTGGCTCCAGCAGGGCATTCCCTGCCTGCTGCCATGGGATTTTCTCAGCCCTGGTGAGAAGGATCTTCAAGCCACAGCTGAAATTTCTGTATTTCCCTATATTTTCACCCAAATATCCAGTGATATTAGGGTTATATGAATATGAAGTGCCTGGAGCAGGATGTGGCTCCAGCAGGGCATTCCCTGCCTGCTGCCATGGGATTTTCTCAGCCCTGGGTGTGGCTTGAGCATGAAGGAGAAGGATCTTAAAGCTACAGCTGAAATTTCTGTATTTTCCTATATTTTCACCCAAATATCTGTGGATGAAGTGTCTGGGAGCAGGATGTGGCTCCAGCAGGGCATTCCCTGCCTGCTGCCACTGGATTTTCTCAGCCCCTGGTGTGGCTTGTGGCATTTGCTGCCTTTATTGAGCATCCCAGGAGCCTGGCAGAGGTGCCTGAGCTGTGCCAGCTCCCTCCTGGAGGCAGCACCCAGCTCCTGATCCCTGTGCCAGAGCTGGGGAAGCACCTTGGATGGCAGGAATGGGAATGTGCAAAAGGGAAACTCGATACAGAACATCAAAGGGGTGAGAGGAGGGGAGGGGAGGGGGCCCAGCTGTGCCAGAGCAGCTGGAGGGAAGGAAGAGCAAAGCTGGGAGAGGGAGGAGCAGGAGGAGACACGAGAGGGGAATTCAGCAGCTTGGAGGCATTTTCTGGAGCAGGATGCCTGGGCAAGCCCCTGGAGAAGCAGCTGCTGAGCAGGGGGAGCTCAGCAAAACTGCTGTGCCAAGCTGCTCCACTGGGATGAGTGCAAATGGTCCTGCAGTTTGTCCTGTCTCGGGGTTTCTCATTAAAACTGGAGCATTTTTGTTCAATTTTGCCTGTGTGCTGTTTGGAAAGTGCTTAAAAATTGGAGGGTTAGGGTCTGCAAATGAGCTATTAAAGAAAGACATGTAAAGCTTTGCTCAACCTCATCTTAGGATGTTGGCTTTTCTATTTTTCATCCATTTGTAACCCTGCAGTTCTTTAGTGTGTAACCCCAAACTCCATGTACAGTGGGAGCTGCTGCTTTCCCATTTTGGGCAGACACAGCAATTCCTCTCCAGGCTTGGGAATCAATCCCCTGCCCCACTGAGAGCAGGGGATGCCCTTGGGGAGCAGGCACTGGGCTCCTGTGCCAAACTGCTCCACGTGGGATGAGTGAAAATGGTCCTGCAGTTTGTCCTGTCTCGGGGTTTCTCATTAAAACTGGAGCATTTTCGTTCAATTTTGCCTGTGTGCTGTTTGGAAAGTGCCTAAAAATTGGAGGGTTAGGGTCTGCAAATGAGCTATTCTAAAAATTAAAGACATGTAAAGTTTTGCTCAACCTCATCTTAGGAGTTTAGGTTTTCTATTTTTCATCTATTTGTAACCCTGCAGTTCTTTAGTGTGTAACTCCAAACTCCATGTACAGTGTGAGCTGCTGCTTTCCCATTTTGGGCAGACACAGCAATTCCTCTCCAGGCCTGGCAATCAAGGACACCTCACTGCCTCAGGGCCCAGAAATGGAAACAAAAATGAGCTGGGGAGAGCAAACTTGGGGTAAATGACTCCATTACCTGAAGCTGTAATTGGGAGATTAACTCCCAATATGCAAATGGACCCAAATATCCAGAGGAAGTTCCCTCAGAGGGAACAATTCCTTCCCAAAATCCCATCTATCCCTGCCTTCTGTCAGTGGAAGCCATTCCCTGTGTCCTGTCCTTCAAGGCCTTGCTAAAATTCTCTTTATTTCCAGTCCCATTTAGGCATTGGACACAAACCAGGTCTCCCCAGTTCTGAGAGAGAGCCCAAGCTTGTCCAAAGTTGTTCCTTGACTTTCCCCGCTCCATGGTTCCTCCCTGGGCCACTTTCTTTTCTCCTTTTCTCTTTTCTTTTCTTTTCTTTTCTTTTCTTTTCTTTTCTTTTCTTTTCTTTTCTTTTCTTTTCTTTTCTTTTCTTTTCTTTCCTTTTCTTTCCTTTCCCCTCCCCTTTTCTTTCCTTTCCCCTTTTCTTTCCCCTTTTCTTTCCCCTTTCCTTTCCCCTTTCCTTTCCCCCTTTCCTTTCCTTTCCTTTCCTTTCCTTTCCCCTTTCCTTTCCCTTTTCCTTTCCTTTCCTTTCCTTTCCTTTCCTTTCCTTTCCTTTCCTTTCCTTTCCTTTCCTTTCCTTTCCTTTCCTTTCCTTTCCTTTCCTTTCCTTTCCTTTCCTTTCCTTTCCTTTCCTTTCCTTTCCTTTCCTTTCCCCTTTCCTTTCCCTTTTCCTTTCCTTTCCTTTCCTCTTTTCTTTCCTCTTTTCTTTCCTTTCCTCTTTTCTTTCCTCCTCTCCTCTCCTCTCCTCTCCTCTCCTCTCCTCTCCTCTCCTCTCCTCTCCTCTCCTCTCCTCTCCTCTCCTCTCCTCTCCTCTCCTCTCCTCTCCTCTCCTCTCTCTCTCTCCTCTCCTCTCCTCTCCTCTCCTCTCCTCTCCTCTCCTCTCCTCTCCTCTCCTCTCCTCTCCTCTCCTCTCCCACTCTTTGACTCTGAATAAACAAAATGAAAATGCCCCTCATGACCCACAGCCACTGTGGGAAGAGGAGATGAAGCTCCCAAATCCCTTCAAATCAAGGTCAGCCCTGCCAGCCTCCCCCCAGGGCAGAGGTCTCACCACTCATTTTGTGGCAGAGGAAGCTGCAGCACAGAGAGAGGAAGGGGCTCTTTATGAAAGCCAAAAATCCCTGTCAGGGTCAGATGACACCTCAAGGGTGATGTTCAGCTGGCCAGCCCAGCCCTGGGCCATGCCTGGGGAGGAGAGAGGCCTGAGCCAGGGTTGTTTTCCACCTTGGCACCCACTGGGGTCTCGGGGTGACTTCACAGCCTCCCAATTTTATTACATTTTTATTGATCCATGCCCTGCAGCCTCAGCACAGCTGCTCCAGCTGCAGGAGCTGGGCTTGTTTGCACAGCTGGGAAGGATTTCCCCAGCCCAGTTCATTACCTCCACCGAGGAGATGAGCTGTTCCTCCTCATTATTGAGAGATTTGTGCCACAGAGCCTCCTCCAGAGCCTTCTGCAGGACCCAGGGCTGACCTCAGGAAAGGGAAGTGCTGCTTTTTGGAGGATCCACCAGATCCCATCCCTTCTCCTGCTCAGGAAGCTTTCCCTGCCTGCTCTGTCTCCTCCCCACTGAGTACCTATTTTAGGTTGGAAATGGGGATGTGTGTTCTATTCCCACCTGTCAGAGCTGGGGCAGTTCTCTGCTGTTCTTGGGGCAGTTTTTTCTTTATCTCTCCCACACCAACCCTCCCTGCAGGAGATCTCTGCTGTCCATGGCCACTGAGTGTCCCTGCAGGGCTGATCCAATTCCAGCACCCCATGGGGAGATGCTGCATTGCCCAGGGCAGGAGCCAAGCATTCCTACCTGGATCCAATCTGAGGTTTGGGACACCAGAACAGCCTTTCCTCTGCATTCCCAGAGGAGCAGCTGCCTTTTCCACTGGAGCTGCAGAGGAAAACTCCCCCCTTGTGCAGGATCCCTGCTCCAGCAGAGCCACAGCTGGCACTGCAGGAGGGCTGAGCCCCCATGGGATGGGGCTGTGCCACCCCCTGACACACAGGGGACAGGGCATGGGCTGACTCTGGCAGGGTTTGTTTGCTTTTTTGTGGTATTGCATTTGTATTTTTAATTTTCCTAGTAAAGAACTGTTATTACTATTCCCATATCTTTGCCTGAGAGCCCCTTAATTTCAAAATTATAATAATTCAGAGGGAGGGGGTTTGCATTTTCCATTTCAGTGGAGGCTCCTGCCTTCCTTAACAGACACCTGTCTGTTCAAACCCAGACACTTTCCCCATATATCCCAAATTCTTGTGGTTTCTCCCTTCCCCGTTTCCTCATTGGTTGTGCTATCCCTGGTGTCCAGCCCCATCTTCCCTGTAGGCCAATGCCCTTTTCCTGCCCTTTGTGCCGTCCCTGTGCCCTCAGACCATTGGGCACTCTTCCCTACTTAACCTTGTGGAGAGTACCTGGCCAGGTCTTTGTCCCTGATCCCTTTGGCGTGGTGGGTGCCATAAACCTTTGCTGGAATACATCATAAAAACCCTTCCTGCTCTTCCTCTGCTGAGCTCTTTGTGTTGTGTGTGTGCATGGACCTGAAATGGCTGCTCTGACAGAATCACAGAATTCCAGAATCACTGGGTTGGAAGAGACCTCCAAGATCATCGAGTCCAACCCAGCCCCAGCACCTCAACTGAACCCTGGCACCCAGAGCCACATCCAGGCTTTGTTAAACACACCCAGGGATGGGGACTCCACCACCTCCTGGGCAGCCATTGCAGAGCTTTATCACCCTTTCTGTAAAAAACTTTTTCCTGATATCCAACCTATATTTTTTTCCTGCTATCCAACCTGTTATTTCCCTTGGCACAGTTGAGGCTGTGTGCTCTGGTTCTGTCAGTTCCTGGAGAAAGAGCCCAGCCCCAGCTGAGCACAGGCACCTTTCAGGAGCTGCAGAGAGTGATGAGGGCACCCCTGAGTCTCCTTTTCTCCAGGCTGAGCACCCCCCAGCTCCCTCAGTTGTTCCTCACAGGGTTTGTGTTCCCAGCCCCTCTCCAGCCTTGTAGCCCTCCTTTGGACACATTTAAGAATCTCAAGGTCCTTCCTAAACTGAGGGGCCAGAACTGGACACAGCACTCCAGGTGTGCCCTCGCAAGTGCCTGGTACAGGGGGCAGAGTGACCTCCCTGCTCCTGCTGGCCACACCATTCCTGACCCAGGCCAGGAGCCATTGGCCTTCTTGGCCACCAGGGCACTCTGCTGGCTCATGTTGTTGACCAGTGCTGCCAGGTCCCTTTTAGCCAGGGCACTGTCCAGCCACGCCATCCCCAGCCTATAGCACTGCTGTCACAGACACATCTTCTGAAAAATCCTTTTGTTAGGATCTTTTCTCCTGAGAAGCTGGGAAGTTTCAGCTTCTCCACGTTTTGCTGCTTTGGAATGTGATTTGGAGAATTGTTTACCCAGCATGTGAATTGTTTTTACTTGATGACCAATGACAGCCACCTGTGTCGAGGCTGTGAGCAGTCACAGGATTTCCTCTCCTGTCCTCTCCTCGAAATTTCCTTTCCTGAAATTTCCTTTCCTTTCCTGAAATTTCATTTCCTTGCCTTTCCTTGAAAATTGCCTTTCCTGAAATTGCCTTTCCTTTCCTGAAATTGCCTTTCCTTTCCTGAAATTTCCTTTCCTTGAAACTTCCTTTCCTTTCCTTGAAATTTCCTTGAAATTTCCTATAAATTTCCTTTCCTATAAATTTCCTTTCCTTGAAATTTCCTTTCCTTGAAACTTCCTTTCCTTTCCTTGAAATTTCCTTTCCTTGAAATTTCCTTTCCTGGAATTTCCTTTCCTGGAATTTCCTTTCCTTTCCTGAAATTTCCTTTCCTTGAAATTTCCTTTCCTTTCCTTGAAATCTCCTTGAAATTTCCTTTCCTAGAAATTTCCTTTCCTTGAAATTTCCTATGAAATCCTTTTCATCTATTCTTTAGTATCATTTTAATATATAATTTTCTTTTAATATAACATATATCATAAAACAATCAATCAGCCTTCTGAATCATGGAGTCAAGATTCTCCTCTCTTCCCTCACCTCCCTGCAAACACCACCACACCCTGCCTGACTCCCAGTACGGAGCTTTGGAAGCCTTCAGGCTTCTGAAGGAGCCCCTTTGAGGGGGTTTCAGCATTTCTGCCGCCCTGCCCGGTGGCAGCAGAGGATGCCAGCCCCAGCAGCCCCCGCTCACCTCCCCGGTAGGTTTTCCAGGTGTAGTACTTCCCTCGGAAGGGCACGCCGTCGAACTCGGCGCACTGCAGCTCTCGGAAATCCTGCGAGCCCGGCGGGCAGTCCTGTGGGCACACAGCCATGGTCAGCGTGGGGCTGGGGGGCACAGCTGGGCACGGCCACCAGCCCCTGGGGACAGGGACACCAGCTCTGGCATCAGGGCACTGCCACCAGCTCTGATACAGGGCACTGCCACCAGCCCCTGGGGACAGGAACACCAGCTCTGACACTGGGGCACTGCCACCAGCCCTCAGGGACAGGGACATCAGCTCTGACATGGAGCACAGCCACCAGTTCTAGGCAATGGGGCACTGCCACCAGCCCTCAGGGACAGGGACATCAGCCCTAAAAATGGGGCACTGCCACCAGTTCTAGGCAATGGAGCACTGCCACCAGCTCCTCAGGGACAGGGACACCAGCTCTGACACTGGGGCACTGCCACCAGCCCCTGGGGACAGGGACATCAGCTCTAAAAATGGGGCACTGCCACCAGTTCTAGGCAATGGGGCACTGCCACCAGCCCTTGGGGACAGGGACATCAGCCCTGACACTGGGGCACTGCCACCAGCCCTTGGGGACAGGGACATCAGCTCTAAAAATTGGACACTGCCACCAGTTCTAGGCAATGGGGCACTGCCACCAGCTCCTCAGGGACACCAGCCCCTTGGTGACAGGGACATCAGCCCTAAAAATGGGGGCACTGCCACCAGCCCCCTGGGGACAGGGAGACCAGCTCTGACACTGGGGCACTGCCACCAGCCCCTCAGGGACAGGGACACCAGCCCAGATACAGGGCACTGCCATCAGCTCCCTGGAGACAGGGACATCAGCTCTGGCAACTGGGCACTGTCACCAGCTCCTCAGGGACAGGGACATCAGTCCTGACAATGGGGCACTGCCACCAGCTCCTCAGGGACATCAGCCCCCAGGGACAGGGACATCAGCCCTAAAAATGGGGCACTGCCACCAGCTCTGACAACAGGGCACTGCCACCAGCCCCTTGGGGACAGGGACATCAGCCCTGACACTGGTGGCAGGACAGTCCCTCCTGCAAAGCCAGGCACGATTTGAAGTCCAAGAGCACGAGGAGGGGCCCCAGGAGCTCTGCCTGATCTGTGACCCTGGGGAGCAATCCCCCAAACCCGGGGAAGCAACAGGACCCGTCTGCTTCCCTCTCCAGCAGCCCGTGGGTGTTAAAGCTGCAATCCCCAGGTCCCAAGCTCCTCTGAGCATCCCCTCGGCGCAGTTTTCCCTGTAAATCTTTGAGGTGTAACCCCCAGCCCCGGGAAGCAGAGTCTGACCCAGCCTCACCTGAGCAGCTGTGCAGGAGCAGCCTGGGAGAAGCAGAGCTGGAATTCTCTCTCTCCCCCCCTTTCCCTCCTTATCTTTGGGCCCCTCTGGATGCCGGAGCCCCGCAGGTCCGTGCAGCCCCCGCGCCCCCGGAGCCGGCTCCCACACCTGCCTGGTCCTGCCTGGAATTCCCCATTGCGGGATCGCTGCCGGCTCACCCCGCCCTGCCCCTGCCTCCTCCTCCTCCTCTTCCTCCCACGGCTGCACAGAGCACCCCGCACCTGGGAGGAGAGGCCTCATCCCACCTGGATAGAGCTCATTCAACCCGGAGAGGGCTCAACCCACACTAGACAGGGCTCATCCCACCTGGAGAGGGCTCAACCCAATCCAGGCAGGGCTCATCCCACCTGGACAGAGCTCTCCCAGTCTGGACAGGGCTCATCCCATTTGGAGAGGGCTCAACCCAATCCGGACAGGGCTCATCCCACCTGGACAGAGCTCTCCCAATCTGGACAGGGCTTATTCCATTTAGAGAGGGCTCAACCCAGTCCAGACAGGGCTCATCCTACTGGGAGAGGGCTCATCCCACTGAGACGCAGCTCGTCCCAACTGGAGAGGGTTCATTTCACCTGGACAGGGCTCATCTGACCCGGACAGGGCTGATCCCAACTACAGAGGGCTCATCCCAACCAGAGAGGGCTGATCCCAATTGGAGAAGGTTCATCCCATCTGGACTGGGCTCATTCAACCCAGACAGGGCTCATCCCACTGAGACAGGGCACATTGAGTCCCAACAGGGTTCATCCTAACTGGAAAGGGCTCATCCCACCTGCACAGGGCTGATCCCATTTGGAGAGGGCTCAACCCAGTCCCGACAGGGCTCATTCAACCCAGAGAGGGCTCAACCCAATCCTGACAGGGCTGATTCCATGTGGACGTGGTTCATCCCAACCCCGACAGGGCTCATTCAACTTGGAAAGGGCTGATCCCAATCAGAGAGGGCTCATCCACCCTGGACAGAGCTCATCCCGACTGGAGAGGGCTCATTCAACCCCGACAGGGCTCATCCCACCCGGACAGGGCTGATCCCATTTGGAGAGGGCTCAACCCAATCCCGACAGGGCTCATTCAACCTGGACAGGGCTCAACCCCATCTGGACAGGGCTCATCCCAATCAGACAGGGCTCATCCCATTTGGAGAGGGCTGATCCCGCCAGACAGGGCTGATCCCACCCTGGACAGGGCTGATCTCCCTCCTCCATCCCTCCCAGCCCCTCTGCCCCCACTCACATCAGTGTTGCAGGAGCGGTAGCGTTTCCTCTCTCCCAGGCAGTACTTCCCTCCGATGGTGGGCCTGCCAAAGAGGAAGGAGGTTTGTGAGACTGTGACATAGATAGATAAGAAGACTCTCACATGGTTTGTGAGACTGGGACACAGATAAGAACTAACAAACATCTGAGTCCCAAGAAGAAATACCATCCCATGATTTAATCCCGACCTTGGCAAAAAGAAGTTACGACTCCCCATCCATCCAGCCTCTGCTCTAGCTCAGCCTTCCCAAGGCATCACAGGCACCTGGATGTGCCTCCCCACGGACACCAAGGGTTGGGGACACGGCAGGGCTGCAGTGACAGGGCCACCCCCACGTGTGGATGCCATGGGACAGAGAGAGAGAAACGGTGAGCGTTTCTCACAGTGGCTTGGGAGAAGTTTTAGGGAGCTGGAAAGATGTGATAACCTGTTGACTCTAAACAATTTGCAGGTGCTGGTTTTCTACTTTATTTTTCTGTTCCTCTCAAGTGTAGGAGCATTGGGGGGTAGTATGGTCAGGACAGACGGAGACCAGAGATCTCTGCAGCCAGGTCGTGGAACTTGGGGTTTATTGCAAAGGGCCTGGGGGCAGGGCCCTGCTGGGAGCTGCCAGGCACAGCTCAGAGCAGGACTGAGAGAAGAGAGGGGTAGTGAGGATGAGAGGGTAAGAGAGTAAAAGGGTAAGAGAGTAAGAGAGCGAGGTTCCCGTTACAATACAATAAATCATCTTCTGTGTTGAATATTCTAATTCTCACTAATCTAGTACAATGTACAAATCCTACAGCATTTACATACAGCCTATAAGAATCACTACATTACCATACTGTGTTACATTTTAAACCCTAAAAACTCCTCTTTGGGCCCCTTCTGCCAGGCTGGCAGGGTCTGCTCTGACCCCTGGAGCTGCCTGCAAGCAGAGGGTGTTGTTCCATCAAAAGGGGATCACCTTCAGCCGGCCATGCCATTGTTTTCCAGTTGTTCAGTAACTGAGGGATCTCAAAGCTTGCTTTCATTTCAATCTCGCTTATAGTTTCTATATTCTCAAAATCTTTTGCCAGGCAATCATATTTATAAGGCTTTCCTGTTTCATCTTCCCCAACACTCAAGGACAGCGCGCGAGAAAGATGTTTCTGTAAGTTAGCCAATAGAATAGAATCTATCGTACCACTCTATAAAAACCACGTGGTTCATTTGAATAAACCCTTCTTTGCCCTTTCTACCCTCCTGCCTCTCTCCTGTTCCTGCCCCAACCCTGGCGCACGAGTGACCCCCACGTACCTGGGGCTGTCGCAGTGGCGCACGGACGAGGAGACGCCGCCGCCGCACGTCCGGCTGCACTCGCCCCACGATGACCACGAGCCCCAGGCTCCGTCCACGCCCTCCGGCCGCGTCCCGAAGGGCACACACTCCCTCTTGTAGCACCACTGTGGGGACACAGAGATTGGGACACCTCGGCAATGGGGGGCGTCAGAACTCAGCACATCCCTCCGGGTGTCCAGAGCTGCCGAGAACCCTGACGGGGGCCTTGGAGACCCTGGCACAGCCCAGAGCACCTGGGGATTTGATTGTGACCCCTGGAGCAAGTTACCAGCTTTGTATGAGGACATGAAAGCCACAGAAGTTTAAATAGTATAATAATAAAATGATCACAGGGTGAAAATGTAGATTTTAGCATTTTTGGTATGGGGGTTATGGGGACAAGATGGAGGAACTTGGGTGTGTCCAGCCTTTCTTCTTCTTCTTGTTCTCCATTTTCTGCAGTGCTGTTGGCACTTTGGGATTGGTTTACAGTAGAAGTGCACTGTCTAACATAGGTGATAGGTATTGGGAATTAAGTGTAAATACGTTATACGTAGTTTGTGGTATAAAAAGACAACACCCCCTCAGGGGTGGTCAGAGTGCCTGTGGCTGCCCTGCTGAGCAGATCTCAGCTGGGCAGAAAGAAAATTTTATAGATAAGAATTAATAAACAACTTCAAGACCAAAAACTGAAGAGCTCTGACTCGTTCTTCAGACATGGGGCTGAAACAGAGACATCCTGCACATCTCAGGGGGAATCCTCCTGCCAGAGCCTCCATGGAGCCAGCACAGGGCTGGGATCTGCTTTGGTCCTGAGGAATCTGAGCTGGGAGCTGCAGCGGCCTCAGAGCCAAATTCTCCAAGGCAAAGGGTGCTCGCCTCTCCTTGGGGTCAGTGGGATCAGCCCCTGTGGCACCATCCAGGCAGGCACTGCCGAGGGGTCACATCCCAAACGTTGCCCAGAGCAGCTGTGGCTGCCCCTGGATCCCTGGAAGTGTCCAAGGCCAGGTTGGACACTGGGGCTTGGAGCACCCTGGGCTGTGGAAGGTGTCTCTGCCCATGGGTGAGGTTTAAGGTCCCTCCCAACCCAAACCAGTCTGGGATTCTCCTCTAAAGAGGTCCTGGGTTCCCATCTCACATCTTATAAAAGCCCTCGGCAGAGTTCCAGGTGATCTTGGACTGGAGCTGCTGCTGCTGGGCAGGGCCAGGATCCCTGGGGGACATGGCCACAACCACTGCCAGGACAGAGTGAGTTTTGTTTGTACTGAGAGCTCAGGTTGTGGTTTGTGCGTCCAAAATGTCCAGATCAGCAAAGAGCTCGAGTTCAAATAAAGTTTAAATTGTAATATCAGCATTGTTGTGTCATCATTCTGCTGAAGATCCTTAAAGAATCCCGTCCCTGTCCTACTGGGAGACAGATGCTCATGGAAATTTGCCTATGAAATATTTCCCTCAGGCCTGGCACGTGTCCCACAGCCCCTGGAGTCCCCAGCCATGGGAGGGTGGGACGGTGCCAGAGCCGCCCGGGCGCGGTGCCGGACACGGAGCCCTGGGGGCTGAGATAATCCCAGGAAGGAAGAAAGCTCTGTGTGCTCCTTCCAGGGGCTGGGAACCCACCCTGGAGCTGCTGGCACAGCCTCTCCCTGCTCCTCCCAAGCCAGCTCTGCATGGGCAGCTGGGAAAAATGCACGGAGGCTTCCCAGGAATCCCAACTCACGATCCCTGGGAGCACCAGAGCCTCTCCAAAGGGGGGTCCCATGTGGAGGAGATACTCCACAATATTCCCACAGCCTGGGGGATAAATAAACCCTGGGGGCCCTTCCCTTCCCTTCCCTTCCCTTCCCTTCCCTTCCCTTCCCTTCCCTTCCCTTCCCTTCCCTTCCCTTCCCTTCCCTTCCCTTCCCTTCCCTTCCCTTCCCTTCCCTTCCCTTCCCTTCCCTTCCCTTCCCTTCCCTTCCCTTCCCTTCCCTTCCCTTCCCTTCCCTTCCCTTCCCTCTGAAGAGCCCTGGTTAAAAAGAGGTTACGAAGCTGGGGGAAAGGGATGATTAAAAGTGGGAAAAACTGGGGAAAAGGAGGAAAAAATGCCACTGTGGGTTCTTGGGGTAAGACAGGTGAAGCCATAACAACCACAGGAGATGGATTAATTTAAAAAAGAAGGATCTGGCAGGAGGAAATACCCAGAGGTTTGGGATGTGGGCACAGCAGAGTTTGGCTCAGCCTTCCCCCACACTGGCTGGCAGAGCACAGGAATTTTCTCTCTCCTTTAATATTTCATGCTTTAAATTCCCTGATCTTTCTGTCTGCTCTCCCCAGGGCAAAGGGAGAAGCCAGGGAAGACCTTGGAGAGCTGCTCCAGCCAAGGGCTGAGGTCTGGGGCTCACCCCAGCAGCTCCAGCTGGGAACAATACAGAAACTTAATATAAAAGCGTATTCTTCTTAATATAAAAATGTATTCTTCCACCCAAGGTCATCAAATCACTTCCAAATAATGAATGGATCCAAAAGGATAAGCACAGGGGGGTAACTGGGGGTTCAAACGGAGCCAGAATCCTCACAGGGAGCCAGAATCCTCACAGGGAGCAGCTCCCACAAATCCTGGGGGCTGTGACTGCTTCATTTCCCTTCCCTCAAGGCTTTTGAAACAGCCTGATGAAAAAGCAGCCACAAAGTGGGGGAAAAGAGATATTGAAAAGTGGGAAAAGCTGTGAAAAAGCCATGACTAGGAGGGAAAAAATGCCATAGTCCCTGTGAGTGTGCAGCAGGAGGGATAAGCAGCCCCAGGAGCTGTCTGCTGCTCTCTGCCCCAGTTCCCTGCAGAACTAAAATGAAAATAATCGTGGATTTGTCAGAGCCATGGTCTCCCCTGCACCCCAGCTCCTCCAGCTTCCTAAGGATTTGAAATGTTTCTTGGGAATTACTTTTCTTCTAGTGGAATGGGGGATGTCCCAGCCCTGATTCTCCATTGTCCCAGCGTGCAAAGGCTCTTTGTCTGAGCGTGCATTCACTTTGTACTGGGGAAAATGGGTGTAGGAGGAGCAGGGAGTGAAGCAATCAAGGCAAAATTCATGGTCAGGGAAAATCCTGCCCTCCCCTCCCAGCTGAGGGTAAAAATCCAAGGTTTCATCATAGCCAGTTTTTCCCAAGTTCCTCTGAAAGAAAAATATCTGGGGAAACTGGGGGAAAAAACCAAAAAATCCCTTTTCTCAGACCAGCCAGGAGATCCCAGGAGATCCCAGGAGACCTGAGGACAAGGTGTTCATTTAAGGACATGGCATTCCATGAGATCCTACTCCTCCTGAAGAAGAAGGAGGAAATTTCCAATCCATGGAAAACTTGCTGCTTTTCAGGAGCAGCGTGCCCTGTCAGAGGTTTTCCAGGAAATGTTCAACAGGTTCACAGTGTCAGTGACAGAAACTGTCCTGGGATGGGCAGCAGAGCCTGAGCTGCCACAGCTGCTTGAGGTCACCTTGCTGTGCCTCAGGGGTGGCACCAAGGAGGACTTTGCTGGAGCAGGGATTTCCCATTCCATATTCCATATTCCACATTCCATGTTCCACATTCCACTTTTCACATTCCACATTCCATATATAACTTTCCATATTCCATACTTCACATTCCACTTTCCACATTCCATATTCCACTTTCCATATTCCATACTTCACATATCACATTCCACATTCCACTTTCCATATTCCATACTTCACATTCCACTTTCCACATTCCATATTCCACTTTCCATGTTCCACTTTCCAATTTCCACATTCTGCTTCCCACATTCCACATTCCATATATCACATTCCATATTCCACTTTCCATGTTCCACATTTCACTTTTCACATTCCACATTCCATATATCACTTTCCATATTCCATATTCCATACTTCACATATCACATTCCACATTCCACTTTCTATATTCCATATTCCACTTTCCATGTTCCACTTTCCAATTTCCACATTCCACTTCCCACATTCCATATTTCATACTCCACATTCCACTTTCCCTATTCCATATTCCACATTCTACTTCCACATTCCATATTCCACTTTCCATATTCCACTTTCCACATATCACATTCCACATTCCACTTTCCACATTCCATATTCCACTTTCCACATTCCATATTCCACATATCACATTCCACATTCCACTTTCCACATTCCAGCCCTGCACAAGCTGAGCTCTGAGCTGGACCCTGGGGCGATTTCTGGGCTCCTTGGCCCATCCCAGCCTCCCTCCAGGGCAGCTCTGCCCTCTGGGGTCAGGGCTGGGTGGGCTGCTGGGCGCTCCTAAACCAACCCCACGCCCCCAGCATGAACAATAATCCCGTTTTTGCTGGAAAAGGACCCCATCCCTTCCCTGCCAGCTGCTGCAGTGCCCAGGGCTGCCTTACCCCCTTGTCGATGGTGTTGGTTTGGCAGATGGTGCCCTCAGCTGCGGGGATGCTGTTGGTGATGCAGCGGTTGCTTTTGCTCAGGCACCACAGCTCGCTGCAGACTTCCTGCAGAGGGGGAGATTGGAGGGCACACGGGGAGAAAGGGAGAGACAGAGAAACAAAACCCAGATTAGGATTGGCTCGTGCCAGGGAGGCACCAGCTGGGACATGGGGACAATGAGTGTCTTCAGCATGGTGGGGACAGCATGAGATCAAACCCTGCCAGCTGCAGCCACCCCAGGGCCACTGAGAGCTGTCCCCTGTCCCCTGCTCTGCACTTGCAAACTAAGCACAAGCACCTAAGCAAACAATGTGGAGGAAAAAATTAAGCTAGAAACGAATTTCAAAGGATGAGCTTACAGAAAAGACTAGATACTTCAGAAAAATAGAACTAAAAAAATACATTGTAGTAAGACCCACAGAGAGTAATTTAAAATAATTAGCTTTAAAGTATTTACAATATAGTGTAGCAAAAACTGATAAGCCAAGAAATGATTATAATATAGTGTAATTAAGAAATAGTTAGCTTCTGATAGTAATAGCATAAATTATAATATAATATAAATTATAATATAATATATAAATTATAATATAATAAATTATAATATAACATGCTATATTAAGTTATATATTATATATAATATAATATAGATTATATAGTTTATATATGATTTATTTATCTAGAATATATATTAATTTATATGTTATATATTAAATATAACAGATTATTAATATACTATAATATACCATGATATATTATACTATACTATAATATAATATTTATTTTTATATTATTCATATATATTTATATTAAATATAAATTGTCTATATCATCTCACCCTTCACGAGACTAAAAATAGAATAAAAGTTTTTTAAATGCCAATAAGTTATCCCATCTCTAAGTCAAAAAAAACCCCTAATCCAACAGAACAATCAAACCACAGAAAACACAGCTTCAAACCAATATCAACACCTTACAAGATTTACAACAGCTTTCAAGAGAAATCAATTAAATCACATCTGTTCTAAAAATTACAAATAATGAACTTACTCCACTTTTTAACTGATTAAGAGGGGACTGTAACATCAAATCTCCTAAAACTTTAACATTTAAAGCTCAAAAAACCCTCCTGGCTGTGGAAGTTCCCTGGGCTCAGGTGGCAGAGCTGACTCCAGCCAGCCCATGCCACCTCTCCTTGGTGTCACCTTGGTGGCACCTGAGCCAATCCCACTGTCCTCGTCTGTGCTGGGGTTTTTCACAAACAGGATGGGACTGCTGGGATAAAATAAATAAATAAAATTTCCTGGAGTTTTATTGTGGTGTAAGATAAGACGGTGAAGGGTTTATAATGAAACTTCCACAGACACAGGAGGGTTTGATCTGCAGCCTTGGAAGAAGCTTGGATTGATATAAAAATACAATACACAGGCATTAAGCAGAAAAATAATAAATTTATGTTCTTATAGTTGTAAGTAAGAATATGCTTTAAGTGAGAAATTTTATTGATAAGATGGTGAAGGGTTTATAATGTAGGAAACTGTATTGATAAAGTGGTGAAGGGTTTATAATGAAATTTCCACAAACACAGGAGGATTTGATCTGCAGCCTTGGAAAAAGACTGCATTGATGTAAAAATACAATACACAGACATTAAGCAGAAATAAATAAGAGTCGCAAGCAAGAATTAGCTTTAAGTAAGTGAGAAACTATTGGTAAGATGGTGAAGGGTTTATAATGTAGGAAAATGTATTGATTATATGGTGAAGGATTTATAATGTAGAAAATTGTATTGATAATATGGTGAAGGGTTTATAATGAAACTTCCACAGACATGGAAGGATTTGATCTGCAGCCTTGGAAGAAACTTGCATTGATGTAAAAATACAATACACAGATATTAAGCAGAAAAATCATAAACTTATGTTCCTATAGTTGCAAGTAAGAATATGCTTCAAGTAAGTGAGAAACTATTGGTAAGATGGTGAAGGGTTTATAATGTAGGAAACTGTATTGATAAAGTGGTGAAGGGTTTATAATGTAGGAAACTGTATTGATAAGATGGTGAAGGGTTTATAGGGGTGTGGTTGTATAGAGTAAGTTAAGAGTTTAGAAGTGATAATAGAAGCAAATGTGTGCAAATGAGACAGAAGCCATTGGACAAAAGTATCCACAGTGCAGTAGAAGAAAGGTGATAGGTTAGAAAAGCAAAATAAGTTCTGTGGCAACTGTCTATTGGTTTAGAAAGTTTTATATTGAAATGAAACTGCTTAGAGCTATGGCTGCTCTAAAATCTCACAGCCTCTGAGCCTGATGTTCATCTGAGCAATAAATCATTCTTGGCTTGAAAATATCCTCATCCCTTCATTTCTAAGGGTGCCAATGACAGATGTGGGCAGCAGGGACAGCCCCACAGAGCTCTCCTTGCCCCATGCCCCCTCCTCCAGCCCTGGAACCGATAGTAAAGCAGGAAGGCTCTCTACCCCGTATTTACACTGGCGGGATTTGACTCCGTACTGGAAGCGGCACTGCTCGTCGGCATCGTAGGCCTGGCCCGGGGCCACCGTGGGGTAGATGAAATCCTGCTTGGGAGGAGCGTTGTTCAGGCACAATCCCATCCCCGAGCTGGAAACACAGAGGGACAATCAGAGCTGAGAAAGGGTGAGGGGAGAGAGAGAAGCTGAGGTGGGGGATCAGCAGCTGTTACTCCCGGCTTTGCTAGGCTGAGCTTTGTCACAGACATCTTTTATGGAAAATCCTTTCCTCAGGATTTTTCCTCCTGAGAAGCTGAGAGGCCTCAGGAACAAAATGTAAACAATGATTATCTGCTGCTGTGGAATGCAACAGGTGGATCTGTGATTGGTCTCATTCAGTTGTTTCTAATTAATGGCCAATCACAGCCCAGCTGGCTCGGACAGAGAGCCCAAGCCACAAACCTTTGTTATCATTCCTTGCTATTCTATTCTTAGCCAGCCTTCTGATGAAACCTTTTCTTCTACTCTTTTAGTATAGTTTTAATGTAATATATCTCATAAAATAATAAATCAAGCCCTCTGAAACATGGAGTCAGATCCTCATCTCTTCCCTCATCCTCAGACCCCTGTGAACACGGTCACAGGGCTTGGCTGCTTGAGGGGATAAATCTGGGTCTGTTCTGGGTGGGGAAAGTGCTCTGAAATCCTTCCCAGGCTGGGAAGCACATCCTGGTTCTGAGGTAACTCTGGAAGTGTTGATCTGAGGGTTCATAGAAACCTGGAACATCCTGAGCTGGAAGGCACCTGCAGGGATCATCTCCACTTACAGAAAATGATCAGAGCTCTTAAAATTCCCAGATGGCATCATCACTGGGCAGAGCTGGGCAGAGGAGCCCAACTGAATATCCTGAGCTGGGAGGGGCCCTCAGGGATGATCAGTGCAGCCCCATCCCTGCACAGGCACCCCAAGAACCCCACCCTGAGCAGCCCTGGGAGCTCCTGGAGCTCTGGCAGCCTTGGCACCATTCCCTGGGGAGCCTGGGCAGTGCCTTGGGGGGAAGAGCCTTGCCCTGAGCTCCATGCCAAGGCCTGGCCCAGCTCCAGCCATTCTGCAGGCTGTTGCCAGTCCCTGGTTGTCCCTGTGGTGAGTGCAGGCAGGTGTGCCCAGGCAGGTGTGCCCAGGCAGGTGTGCCCAGGCAGGTGTGCTCAGCACCCTCAGGTGGGCACTGGGTGGGCAGAGGGGCTGCTCCCCCACCCAGCTGTGAAGCCCCAGCCCCCTTCTCCAAGCCTGACCTCCTGCTTGCCAGAGCTTTGTAGGAACATCCAAATTTGTCCAGAAATGCCTTTCCCTCCCCTTTCCTCACTGCTCTCTGAGCTGCCCCTAAATCAAAGCCGCTGTCACCACCCCCAGCCCCAAATCCTGCTCACACCAGGTCCCACTGGAGGCTCCTGGAGCTGGGGGAGCACGAGGAGTGGGGATGTGGAGCAGGCAAAGGCCCCCTGGCATTCAGCAGCCTAAGAGAGGAGATGCCAGGCCATGGTGAACGGGCTAGAAGCCCCTCTCCCACCTTCAGACCCTTCTTTATCTCTCTGTAACCCCATGGATCACTTTCCTTTAACCCTTACTTATCTCTCCCTAACCCTGTAGGTCCCTTTCCTTTAACCCTTGCCATTGGACAATTTCTGATCCCCCTGTACCCTATATAAAGAGCTGGTTTAGCCCAGCTCTGACAGAAGAGCCGTCACTAGGACCCTTCACAGAAGAATCAATAAAGACATCGCTGTGGAACCCCACACAGCCTTCTCCTCTCTGTCCATGTCTGCCTGCCTGTGGCACCTTGCAAAGGGCTGAAATCACAATGAGCTGATAATCACTAAAGAGCTGATAATCACTGAAAAGCTGATCTCACTTAAACTTGCTAAGGTTGCCTGCAGCTGAGAACTGCTTGGGAGCTCTGTCCTGAACAGCACTGTGCTCTCCAGGACTCTGCAACCAGCTGGGGACAACCCAAAACCCAGCAAAAGTCACCTTAGGGATGAGCTCTCCATTCTCCTGCAGGAGATTGGGGTCAGCAGAGGATGGGGCTGTGCCCTGCATGGCCAATGGGCACCAGAGTGGGGGACAGACCTTCCCGATCTGGGATTTGCTGCTGAGCCATGAATTTTGCTGGACAGAGGGTGTCAAACCCCAAAATATTCCTCTAACTACCCTGGAGGACTCGAGACCCTAGGAAAAAGCTCAAAAACTTTAGCACAAAGTTAAAGACACCCGTGCCTTTGATTTTAACTCATAAAAAACAATTACCAACTTTGTACAAAAAGTTACAAGCCACAAAAGTTTGAATAAAATGATAGTGAGTTTATCACAAAGTGAAAAAGTAAAATTTTAAAGTTTGTAAAGTAAAAAGTTCAAAAGGCAAAATAGAAGAATCTAAGAATCTAAGTGTGTCCTGTCTTTCTCCTTCTTCTTCTTGTCCTCCATCTTCTGCTGAATTAATAACAGTTTTAAATTAGTTTAGAGTAGAAGCAAACTGTCTTACATAAGTAATAAATATTAGAAAATTATTGTAAATAAAGTACAATTAAGTTTTAGTATAAAAAGATAACACTGCTCCAAGGGCGGTCAGGGTGCCTCAACCCAACCTGCTGAACAGATCTCTGCATGTCCAAAAAAGAATGTATAAGATAAAAAAAAATAAACAACCTTAAAAACCAAAGCCAAAGCCTGCCCACCCTCCCAACAAAGAAATTCCTCCTAATATCCAAACTGCTCTCTTGCAGTTTCCATCCATCCCCTTTTCCCTGTCCCTTCTCCTGAATCCTAAAAGTGCTTTGTCAGAAAACGAAAACCAAAATCTTTGCCCTGCTTTGCTCATTCACACTGAAAACTCCTCCTCACTGCCTGGAGAAATCACCTGCACCACACAGACCCAATCCTGTCCCCACCACAACAATTCCTGCTGGATTTCAGAACCAGCCAAATGCCTCCGGGGGGGGGGGGGGGGACTGATCTATTGGTGAAGTTTCTGGACGTGGGAATAATAAATAAATAAATAATAATATATTATATATATACAATACATAATAAATAATAGAATAAATAAATAAAGCTCTCCCAGCCACATCATAAATGTGTTTAGATGTTCAACAGGCAGGAAAAACATGGGGAAGTCTAAAGGAAGGAAAGAATGTGACTGTGGGAGACAGGACAGAAGGTTCTGGGAGGGGTTTGGGGCTTGGCTTTGGCTTTACCCCCTCCTCACAAGAGACTGGGGGAGGCTGGAGGGAGGGCAGGGAGGGGTGGATTCCTTACTCCAGGAAGCTGGTGATGTAATCCCTGCTGCAGGTGGACCACACGAAGGGGTTGGTCTTCATGGTGATGTGGGCAGCCATCAGCTTGGCCGTCTCCTGCCCCCGCGAGCCGCAGCTGTTGCCGACCCCGTCGTGGTTCATGCCAAACCTGGAGAGCACCACAGCACACACCGGGGCAAAATTACTTCCTCCATTTATTAAAAAAAGCTACTCAAACTAATGTTTTATACAATTTAATGACAGCTCTCAAGGACACTCAAACTGTTTCAAGTAAAAAAGTGATTTTTTTCAATTGTTTAAATTCCTCGTGTTGGATCTTTTATGTATCTTATGACTGATAGTCTAGTGACAAACTCAACTTCCTTTATGAAATAGGTGTTTCTCAATAAGGAAATAAAGTTTGCAGATTTTTTTTCCCCTAAGCCCCAGTTATTGGGAAAATTCATCCAGCTGGGGTTGGACACATCTGGATGGTCCACAGGAAGGGTTTTCAGCCTGTGAAAAACACCTTCACTCTCCTGTGAAAATCTAAAAAGTTTAATAAAGGAAGGGTTTTCAGCCTGTGAAAAATGTGTTCACCTAGCTGTGAAAAGTTAAGTTTAATAAAGGACAATAGGAGACAAGGACCATAGAGCAATGGTTATTACTTGAGTTATTATAAAGTTATTACTCAGCCAAGAGCACCCTGTCATCTTTGGGGACACCCCTTAAATACCTTTTCCATTATATCAGCCCTTTGCATATTCATAGACCTTTATGCATAGTAAACTTTTCCCCAAACGAGTTTACATGGTCCAAGAACTGATTAGCATGGCTCCTCCTTGGGTCCACCTTTTAGAGCATGAAGATTCCTTGGTTGTGATTTTAGTCCTTTGTTATCACCTCCAGTTTTTGGTCCTCACTGCTTTCAGTCAGTGAGTGCTGATGGTTGGCAGATCTGTACAGGTGTCTTCATTATATTTTTATTGGATGTTGTCCCATCCAAGCAGGCATTTTAACACAAGCACGCTTACATCAGCTATTTCACTGAGCTTAATTAACAACAGAAATAAAAACTGTATCTTTATAACAAAGTTACTTTAACATCACACATATAGAAGCCATTTTAATATTTGTGAAAAGCCAGTAATATATAATATATAACATATAACATATTATATATTATATACATTATATATTATATATTATATAATATTGGAAAGATTATATAATATATTACATATATTATATGGATATATTATATAATATAATCAATAATTATATATTATATAATATTTAATATATTATACAATACATTATATAATACATTATATAATACATTATATAATACATATATAATAATATATAATATATTATAGTAATATATAATAGAATCTATAATACATCATAATATAATTAAATATATAATTATCTATTTAATTTACATATAATATAATATAATATAATATAATATAATATAATATAATTATGTATAATATATATAGTACAATATATAATATGTAAATATTATATATTATGTAATATATAATGATTAATAATCATACAATATATTATATAATATTAGATATATAATATTGTATGTATATATAATATAATCCACAATAGATTATAGATTATATGTATTTATAACAAGGCCCTGGTGGCAGGGCCAGAGCAGCAGGAGCTGCTGGGTGCTGCACTCACGTGTGGCCGATCTCGTGGGCGATGGTGAAGGCCGTGGCCAGCCCGATGTCCTCGTTGATGCTGCAGCTCCTCTCCCGCTCACACATCCCCCCCACGGGGGCCAGGCCTGGGGAGGGGACAGAGCTGTCACTCAGGGCCACCTCAGGGCGGCTGAGGGGACCTGGGGGTGTTTGGGGGCTGCCTGATGTGCCTCATGCTCTGTAGCACTGAGCAGCTGTGGCCACAGCTCTCTCTTCACTGCAGCAGGCACAACTTTCCCAAGGATTTTCCCCGGGGAAGGCAGTGAGAAGCTCAGAGAAAGAAGAGAAAACAATTCTTATCTCTACTTGCTGCTCCTGTTGTTTGGCACATGTGGAATGTGTTATGGAGATTGTTCACCCAAAGTGATTTGTTAATTGGACACCAGTGAAGGTTGTTTTATTCCTTGACCAATTGGATCCACTGTCTGGAGACAGTCACAGGTTTTTCTTTAGTATTCTTTGGTATAGTATCTCTTTAGTGTGTAATTTAGTATATTATCAGTGTACATCTCTTTAGTATGTAATTCAGTATAGTATTGGTGTAATACACTATAGCTTAATAAGGCAATGTTCAGCTTTCTGTGAATACGTCCATTTAGTAATAAATAAAATAATGTCCATTTACTTCAAATCATTGAAGCAAATGGACATTATTTCCCAGCTGGGGGAATCACCTATTTCTACTAAAAGCAGATGTTCCTTCTCACCATTGCACTTTGGGATGAACTCGTGGCTCTTGCAGGACATGGTCACTCAGCACTGATGGTGAATTAACAGTGACAGGCTCAGAAATGCTAAAAATCCTCTGAATTTTGTATCCAAATGGTGCAAAGGGGAGCAGTGCTTGGCACAGGCCTGGTGGGGGAATCTCAGATGGGCTGAACCAGCTCTGGGGCATCCAAACCTGGCCAGGGAGAGCTGAGCCAGCCAGGATCCAACCTTGGTTCTGCCTGGCACCCACCAGGAATCCAGCATGGCTCATTTGGAGGACTGGGTGATGCTGAAATTCCCCCTGAATTGTGACAGCAAATTCCCTCAGCACAAACTGTGCCCCGGGCCAGGGGAGGGCCTGGCTGTGCCAGGGGAATGATTTGAGCCACCCCAGCACCTCCAGCTGGTCAGAGATCCACCAGCTCTCCCCATGGTGATGCAGAGCAGAAATCCCTCCCTGCCTGCCCAATCTAGACCAGGATGAGACAAGGGAGGAGCCACAGCCAGACAGGGCTGCAGGGTCTGGCTGTGACAATAAAAACTCCCTTTGCAGTCATCACAAAACTGTTGGATTTCTCCCTGCTCAGCCAGGAACTCCAGCAGGCCACGGATAAGCCTAAAAATGTGAGTGATTCTTAATCAGCAGGCTGGAGCTGGAGCTGGAGCTGGAGGAGTTCCAGGGCCCAGCAGAGCTCAGGGCTGCTGGTTTAGTGCTCACAGAAGGGACAGGAGGTTGGAAAGAACTGGTCTGGTGCTGGGGCAGGAGCTGCACCTTCACTGGGAAGGGATGGAACAGGTGGGAAAGGATGGAACAGGTGGGAAAGGGATGGCACTGGTGGGATGAGGATGGCACAGCTGGAAAGGGGAATGGAACAGGTGGAAAGGGATGGCACAGGTGGGAAAGGGAATGGAACAGTTGGGAAAGGGGGTGGCACAGGTGGGAAAGGGGGTGACACAGGTGGCATGGGGATGGAACAGCTGGGATGGGGATGGCACAGCTGGAAAGGGGAATGGAACAGGTAGGAATGGATGGAACAGGTGGGAAAGGGGAATGGAACAGGTGGGAAAGGTAAATGGAAGAGGTGGAAAGGGCTGGCACAGGTGGGATGGGGATGGCACAGGTGGAAAGGGCTGGAACAGGTGGGAATGGATGGAACGGCTGGAAAGGGAATGGAACAGGTGAGAAAGGAGAATGGAAGAGCTGGGATGGGGATGGCACTGGCACAGCCCACCCTCATCACATTCCCAAAGTTCTGTGTGCTGCTGGGGGCTGCTGAGGGGGTGTCAGATTTCCACTCACCCAGGGTGCCACAGGGCTTGTTCTTGTAGATGCAAATGTCGTAGCTGTGAAGGAGAGAAGGCAGCGTTAAGGACACTTCTGATTTTGGGGGTTGTCATTTTGCCCATGTGCTCACATCCAAACCACTCCAAACCAGCCCCTGGAACATTTCTGGGATGGAAATACCAATGGTGACAGATAGGACAAACCTCACTTTTCCCAGGCTGAGATTCACTGAGGGTTTTAATGACAGAGCTGAGCCAGGTCAGAGGTTGGGTTTTGATGAAATGTGGTGGTAGAGCATGAGCAGGGAAGAGAACGGAGCTGGAAAAGGGTCTGGAGCTCCAGGAGGGGCTCAGGGAGCTGGGAAAGGGCTCAGCCTGGAGCAAAGGAGGCTCAGGGGGGACCTTGTGGCTCTGCACAACTCCTGCCAGGAGGGGACAGTCGGGCTCTGCTCCAGGGAACAGGGACAAGAGAGAAAACAGCATCAAGCTGTGCCAGGGGAGGTTTAGATCAGATTTTAGGGAAAATTTCTTCATGGAAAGGATTATCAGGCATTGGAATGGGCTGCTCAGGGCAGTGGTGGAGTCGCCACTCCTGGAGGAGTTAAAAACATGAGCAGATGTGGCACTTCAGGATGTGGTTAGTGGGCAAGGGGATTTGGTCAAAGGTTGGACTTGATGATCTTGGAGGCCTTTTCCAACCTTAATGATTCCATAAATCAGCAGGGACAAGGTTATTCCAGACCTGGAGCTCTTTGGGTTTGGGTGGGTCCAGCTCTGCTCCCCAGCACTCCTGGGCACAGGGGGAAGAGGACAGGGCCAACCTCTGCTCTGTCAGCTCGGGTCTATTGCAGGAAATTGCATCAATCAACCAGAGAAACACAGAATCCCAGCATGGTTTGAGTAGGAAAAGACTTTAAAAATAATTTCACTCCACCCTCTGCCATGGCAGGGACACCTTCCACTACCCCAGGGTGCTCCAAGCCCTGTACAGGCTGGCCTTGGGCACTGCCAGGGATGGGGCATATGAAATTCTGATTAAAAACAAAATAAAAATAAAGAAAACATTTCAGTTTGAAAACATGTTCCATTTCAAATCTCACTGCGATTTCATGAAAATGCTGAAGTGATTTTTTTATATCTATTTTTTCTCTAGTTCAGTTCTTTACTGAGAATTTTCCAAACAAATCCAATCTGGGTTGATTCAAGGTAACTCTTCCCTCTGCTCCTGACCTCAACTTCCAGCCATTGCATGAAGGAATCCTCTGTTTGTACCAGAAAGGTAAAACAAGAAGAGCAAAAACCTCCTCCAGACGGAAACAGAGCAACCTCAAAATGGGAGGAGGTGGCAGCTCCAAATGAGACCAGTTTGGGTTAGAGAGGGAATATTCTCATTTCCTTGCAAAGGTCAACATTTGGGGTTTGTCAGTCTTGGCTGAAAGGGGCCAGGCTGAGAGCGGGGTAGGGTGGGGTCAGCTGGGGACCAGGGGGCAACTGGGCTGGGCTGTGCCACCCTGGAGACAGGTTGGGGTGGCACCGAGGATTGTGACCCCAGCATGGGTTTGGGGACATCCATGGTGTGGGCAGGACCGAGGATTGTGACCCCCAGAGAGGGTTTGGGGACACCCACGGGGTGAAGGTTGAGGATTGTGACCCCAGAGTGGGTCTGGGGACACCAACAGGGTGGGTAGGACTGAGGATTATGACCGCAGAGAAGGTCTGGGGACACCCATGGGGTGGGGGTTGAGGACTGTGACCCCAGAGAAGGTTTAGGGACACCCATGGGGTGGGGGTTGAGGATTGTGACCCCAGGGTGGGTTTGGGGACACCGGGCAGGATCCCCCGGTACTGCTCCCCCCACTGACCCCTCAGGGATGAGGGTGGGCGGTGAGGAGCGGCAGCACACAAAGGGTTAAGTGTGACACATTCCCGGGGGTGGCTCCTGTCCCTTTGGCCCCTGGAAGTGCCCAAACCTCTCCCCTCCTCTCGGCAGGAAACCGAGCAGAGTGCAAAACATTTGTTGCTTTGTTTTGAGCGAATGCCTTTAAACCCTTTTGAGGCTCTGCTTTGACACGTCCCTGCAGGAGGAAAAAAAGCCCCGAGCTCAGCAAGATCTTATCGGGACACCGGGAATTTATTGGGGCCGGGGCCGGATGCGCCGGGCGCTGTCCAGGCTCAGCAGCGGCTCCGGGCTGGCTCGAACATCTGGAGGGAGGACGGAGAGCCCGGAGCCGGCGTTTGCATCCCAAACGTGTGGAGGGAGGGCAGGAAAAAGCTGCAGCCCCCTCGGGAGGGGGAAATCTGGGGCTGAGGGGCCCTTTTGTCGCTCCTTTGTGGGGTCTCATCAGTGGGGGATTCCAGGCTCACGCTGGGGCAGGAGAGCAGCACATGGATAAAGGAAGCAGCTCCCACCTGGAGGCTCCCCTCTCCAGCACTTTCATTTCCTGAATTTCTTTCTCTGAAGGAGAGAGGGAAAGGCACAAAATAATGTTGGATTTGCCTTTGGCCTCTCCCGGGGTGTTTTGTCTTTGTCCAAGGAGGGATTTGTGGGCACTGGAGGGACAATCCTGGGCATAGCTGGCAGCACTTGGGGAGCTCAGCACTCCCTGTGCCCTTCATCCCTGCAGCATCCTGTGGCCTTCCAGCTGCTCTGCCATTCCTTCCACTGTCCCTGTCATCCTCTGTGTCTTCCTTCCATCCATCCATCCATCCATCCATCCATCCATCCATCCATCCATCCATCATCCATCCGTCCATCCATCCATCCATCCATCCATCCATCCATCCATCCATCCATCATCCATCCATCCATCCATCCATCCATCCATCCATCCATCCACCCATCCATCCATCCATCATCCATCCATCCATCCATCCATCCATCCATCCATCCATCCATCCATCCATCCATCCATCATCCATCACCCATCCATCCATCATCCATCCATCCATCCACCCATCCATCCATCCCTCATCCATCACCCATCCATCCATCATCCATCCATCCATCCATCCATCCATCCATCCATCCATCCATCCATCATCCATCCATCATCCATCCATCATCCATCATCCATCCATCCATCATCCATCCATCCATCATCCATCCATCCATCCATCCATCCATCATCCATCCATCCATCCATCATCCATCATCCATCCATCCATCATCCATCCATCCATCCACCCATCCATCATCCATCCATCCATCCATCCATCCATCAATCCATCCATCCATCCATCCATCCATCCATCCATCATCCATCCATCCATCCATCCATCCATCCATCCATCATCCATCCATCCATCCATCCATCCATCCATCCATCCATCCATCCATCCCTCATCCATCCATCCATTCATCCATCATCCATTCATCCATCCCTCATCCATCCATCCATTCATCCATCATCCATCCATCTATCCATCCATCCATCCATCCATCCATCCATCCATCCATCCATCCATCCATCCATGTGAGCAAAGACCAAGGGAAGACTGGAGGGTGACAACAAACTGGGCTGGAGATTGATAACAAACTGGAATGCAGGGTGATAAACTGGAGTGGAAATTGATAACAAACTGGAGTGGAGATTGATAAGCTGAACTGGAGGGTGATAACAATCTGAACTGCAATAAACTGCACCCATGGAGACTCAGGAAGCCTTGGATGACCTTGGAGCCCGGGACAGCTGCCACCCCCAGGGGACAGTGCCACCCCAGGGCACAGGGCTCACCGGGTGATCAGCACGGCGGTGTCGTGGTTGGCGATGCCGTTCTCTGGGATGGCGTTCCCGTTGCCGTTCCTGTTCACGATGGATTTCTGCCACTTGCAGAAGCTGTCCAGGGATTTCCCGGCATGGTGGTTGATCTCCAGCGTGGGCTGGAATGGAAGCAATGGCAGAGTTTGTTCCCAGGGAAGCTCTGGGGGGAAGGCACTGCCCATTCTGTGCCAGCAGAGCACTGACACCACTGCAGAGAGCCCCAGTTCCTCATGGAGGCCATGGGAAAGCAGGAAAAGTGGGACTTTGTCAGTCTTAACTTCTTTTTGCCAGGGTTGGGATTAAATCATGGGATGGTATTTCTTGTTTAGATTCAGATGTTTATTAGTTTAGTGTATTAGACTATCTCACAGTCTCACAACCCTGAGTTCTACAGCATTTCACTCTAACAAACTAAAAATGGAGCCCCATCTCTCTCTCTACAAGGCCTTTTAAGGATAAACTGCCCGATTAAGAAATGACACTTAAAATATTTTTACTTTTAACCCAATAACCAACCACCCATGGCTCATAATGTGGACTTTTTTATCCAATTACACAAAACCACCCAAACCCATGGAGGAGAAGGTGAAGAAGAAGAAGGAGAAGAAGGTGTAGATGAAGAAGGAGAAGGTGAAGAAGAAGAAGAAGAAGAAGAAGAAGAAGAAGAAGAAGAAGAAGAAGAAGGAGAAGGAGAAGAAGGAGAAGGAGAAGAAGAAGGTGGAGAAGAAGGTGGTGAAGAAGAAGAAGAAGAAGAAGGACCAGCCTTCACCCTAAAACCCCCATCTTGCTTTATCTATATTTTTACATTCTAAAAGCTTCCACTCTAAGTTTCCCACCCTGTGATATCACACACTTCTATTCAAACTCCACACCCACAATCCCAGTTCTGTCATTCCATTTTGGAAGCTTCTCCACGGCCTCAGGTCAATGCAGTGTTCTCTTGGGGGTCAGTGCCTGGCAGCACAGAAAATCTGAAATTCTCAGCAGCCAGGGTTCCAACATCACTTTAGGAGAACCAAAGCTGCTTAAACCTCCCTAAAGTGACTTTATAATGGAAAAATTCAGATTCCCAGAGGTCTGCTCAGCCCAGTCCTCAGGAGGCATTGGGAGGATGTGCACTGGGGGCAATTCCTGGGACTGACATCCAGTGGGGACACAGAGCTCTTGAAGGGAAGTGCAGAGCCAGGACAGGCTCAGCAAAGCCCAGCTTACCTGATCCTCGGTGAGCAGGATCAGCCTGGTGACCAGGATATTGACAATATTGCCCAGACTCGAGTCCTGGAAAAGTTTGGCAACCTGACCTCCAAGAAACAAGAAAAGAGGAGTCTTAAAAATGAGCTCTGTGGCCAGGCGAGCTGGGGAGGGCTGGGCACTGCTGTGGGGGGGTCTGAACCCAATATTTTTGGGAAGCAGGGATGGGAATGGGACCCCACACCACCACCTGAGTATCAGAATCCCCTAGACCACAATCAGGGCTCTCTGTCCCAGAGCAGGGAAGCCAAAATCCCTCAGCTCAGGTGGGGCAGCCCCCACTGCTGGCATTTCCAAAATCGCTGTTATAAATAAAAAAATCTGCCAATTTTTTTGGGAAAAAAAAAAAGGGTTGCAGAACCAGTTAAACCAAGGTGCTGCCAAGGTGAAGTTCTACCTGTTTGTTATCATAATCATGGGTCGTTCTTGTTAGCCCTGCCTGGGGCTAAGTTGTCCTTCTCCCCGGATGGTGAGAGGAGGGGACATGGGGGCATCAGAGAGAATGCAAAACAGCCTCGAGACCAGCATGCCATGGGAAGATACCCACCAAACTTACCGAAAAGACCCCAAAAACAACGAGCCAATACAGAATTAAGAGATCAGAGTGATGTCTGGACGTGAGGAACAAAGTACTGAGTGTGCAGAGATGCTGAAAACCTTTGTTACCCCTCACCCTGAGCTAAGACCTCACCTGGACCCAAGACCCCAGCCTGGAAAACTCAGAAGGTGATAAATATGGCGTAGAAATTAATTAGTCTGGTAAGGATGGGACCCTCAGCTCTGTCCTTTAATGGACTAAAGCTGCACATTTCTCCTCCTCCAAGTCACTCTGGAAGCAGCAACGGAGACTGAGGAGCCTCCCAACTTTGCGCTGATCACTTTTAATAAAGTCATTTAATAGGAGAAAAAGTCTCCTGCTCTGATTATTTCAGGGCAGCCCCCACTGCTGGCACTTCCAAAATCCCCAAAAATCCCCACTGCAGCCCCAGGGCTGGAGCTTTGCTGAGGGCAGGGCACAGCATCCCTCGGGGGGATCGGGAAGGCCACAGCATCCCCCAGGAAAGGTTCGGAGCAGATGAAACCGGGATTGTTTGGAAAATCTGGCGTCGGGGCTTTAGAAATGCAAAGCGTGGAAAGCGATCCTGCGGAGGATGGGACAAAGAGCCGTCACAGAGGGGCTTTCAGAGGGTTGATGGATGACTTCCAAACCCATCTCACCTCACAGGAGGATCCAGCACGGCCAATTCAGGCTGTTAATGCATCCAGCCTGGTACCCTGCTGCCAGCAGAGCCCCACACCACAACCAGAGCTCAGGGGGGATTGCTGAGCCCCTCTCTCTGCTCAGCCCCCAAGCGTGAGAGCTGCCCGTCCTTCTGCTTTCCCATGTGGTTCTCAGCTTGCCCGGCCGCATTTGCAATGCTAATTTCAGCGGAGAGATGCTGCTCTAAGAAAGGCTTTTGTTCTCCCAGCCCGGGGTCAGACAGGCCAGGGTTTACCTCTGCAGGTCCGGGGTCCCACCGGGGTCCCTCTGCTCAGCAGCAGCAGCCTGGCAGGATTTTGGACCCCAAAACCTTGCTCTGAGCTTAGGCAGAATCCACTGCCAGCAGCCTGTCAGGATTTTGGACCCCAAAGCCTTTGTGAAAAATGCATGTATTTTATGATTGGCTTTTCGCAAATATTCAAATGAATATTTTATGTGTTGTGTTAGAAAGTGATGCTGTATTAATTCTCTTAAGTAGTGTGGTAAATATAGTTGTAGGTTATAACAAAATGTTAAAATAGAAACGATGCTATGTAGGATACTTTTTTTAAAGAAAGGACTTGCAGCGAGATAGCAGCCCCAGGACACCTGAATCTTTAAGACAAAGAGAATTTATTGCCCCATTATCAGAAGAAATGAACTTCTTCCCACCTTGAAGGCACTGTTAGGATTTGGAGGAAGAAGTTGATGATGACCAGAGAGAATCCTGTGTTTGAATGGAATTTATGCATCATGTGTGAGGTGTAGGAATATGCAACAGGCTGTTGTTTTTAAGGGTTAATCCTCTGTTAACTGTGTCCTTTTTCAGGCTCATGCTGCCCAGAAGAAGGTACCTGGACGTCCGTAACTCTTTGTGTTTATTGTCTCATATTGTCCAAATTCAATTTGTCCAAATTGTTATTACTCTAATTGTATTACTATTTTTTTATAACCATTGTATTACTATTAAAATTTTAAAAACAAGTGATTGGCATTTTTCACACCTTGCTCTGAGCCAGGGGAGAAGTCACTGCCAGCCTGGAACAGATCCCATTTCCCCATCCTGCTTCATGCTGGAAAATCTCCTTTTCCCAGCATGGATTTTGAGGTTGAGAGGAATGACAGATTTGTCTTTACAAAAAAACTGTGGTGCTGCTGGTAGATGAAACCAGCACTGAGAGGTAAAAGAAACAATGGGAAGGATTCCACTGATTGATGAATGGAAAAAAATATTTACCTTCACAAACAAACTGTAAATTTGCTGATAAATGAAATTGGATATTGAAAGATGAAAGAAACAATGGGGAAAACCCCTAAATTCCACAAGAATTAAAAAAAATAAAAGGGAGGGCTATACATTAGAGGGGAATGTTTGGTATCAGGTGCTCTGGGAAGTCTGAACCTCTCAAATACCTCAGAAATGGGGAAAAACCCCTAAATTCCACAAGAATTAAAAATTTAAAAGGAAGGTTATACATTACGGGGGAATCTTTGGTATCGGGTATATTGGGGAGTCTGAACCTCTCAAGTACCTCAGCCAATGGGGAAAAACCCCTAAATTCCATAAGAATTTAAAATTTAAAAGGAAGGTTATACATTAGAGGGGAATGTTTAGTATAAGGTGTTCTGGGAAGTCTGAACCTCTCAAATACCTCAGAAATGGGGAAAGAGAGAAGGGAAATTGGGATAAAAAGGTGGCTGCATCCTCTAAAACTTTGAGAGGCCCCATGGCCTCTCCCTTTAATCAAATAAAGCAAAAAGGACTCTTCTGTCTCCTTTTTTGACACAAACCTCTGACGTTTGTGGATTCATTTTCCATTTGTGGGATCATTTTCCTGACAGGGTGATGAACAGGAATTCTCCCCCAGCCCTCGAGGCTCCTGGTGTGGGTGTAACACTTACAATATTCATGATGGCCAGGATGTACTGCTCGATGTCCCTGCGGCCGTGGTAGCCCACCATCATCTTGTCAGCCACCACCAGGGTCTCCACGTAGCGCTCGGTGCTCACCGACCTCTTCAGGGGCAGCTGGCCCCGCTGGCTGTGGTTGCCCGAGGGCTTCAGCGGGGAGGGTTTCAGTGTCCGGAGCCACCAGTGCCTCCCCTTCCAGGGCTTCTCGTCTGGGGAGGGAATGGGATGGTTGTGATGACCCCAGGATGGTTGTGATGACCCCAGGATGGTTGGGATGCCCCTGGGATGATTGGGATGCCCTTGGGATGGTTGGGATGCCCTCGGGATGGTTGTGATGACCCCAGGATGGTTGTGATGACCCCAGGATGGTTGGGATGCCCTCAGGATGGCTGTGGTGCCCTTGGGATGGTGGGGATGCCCCTGGGATGGTTGTGATGCCCTCGGGATGGTTGGGATGCCCTTGGGATGGTTGTGATGCCCTCAGGATGGTTGGGAGGACCCCAGGATGGTTGGGATGCCCCCGGGATGGTTGTGATGCCCTCAGGATGGTTGGGAGGACCCCAGGATGGTTGGGATGCCCCCGGGATGGTTGGGATGCCCTCGGGATGATTGTGATGACCCCAGGATGGTTGGGATGACCCCAGGATGGTGGGGATGCCCTCGGGATGATTGGGATGACCTCAGGATGGTTGGGATGCCCTCGGGATGGTTGTGATGCCCTCGGGATGGTTGGGATGCCCTCGGGCACAGCTGCTGGTTCCCAGTACAAAGCTGCTCTGTCCCAGTCCCTCCCAGTCCCCCCCAGTCACTCCCAGTCCCTCCCAGTACAAAGCCCCTCTGTCCCAGTCCCTCCCAGTCTGTCCCAGTCCCTCCCAGAGGGGGAGGCCATGGAGGAGCTCTCAAGCTGCCCCAGGGGCAGTTCAGGCAGGAGGCCAGAGAAGATTCTTCACTGGAGGAGTCACTGGGCAGTGGAGATGTGTGCCCAGGGAGGGGTGGGGTCACCCACCCTGGAGGGGTTTGGAGAGGCCTGGAGGTGGCACCCAATGCCAGGGCTCAGCTTGGACTGGGTGACCCTAAAGGGCTTCTCCAACCTCATTCACTCAGTGATTTCTGGGTGGAGCCAGAAAATGTCCCAAATGCAGTCCTGGACTGTCCCCAGGTTCCTGCTGGCCTCTCCCCTGCCCTCCTGTCCCCTCCTGTCCCCTCCTACCCCCCTTTTTTTTTTTTTAATAACCTATCTTTCCATAAATCATTCTATAGGGTGCACAGTTCCAAAACACAAAATTTAAATCCGCTTGACAATTTAAATCAAAACCCAAATGAAGCAAGATGACCAAACAAGGCTCCTTTAGCTATGCACACATATCCTGAAGATCAAGTTAAAAATGTAAAGGAGATTACCAATTTTTAATTACAATTATTCAACCAGGTGGGTAGTTTCTCTAATGAACATTTCTATGAAAACAGAATAACTGGGTGCCCAGCCCACCCCAGCCCCAAACCCCTCTGGGCTGCACAGCCCTGCCCTTTTTTTTTTTTTTTTTAGGTTTTAGCCATAACCTGAAAATGAAGCCCTTGCAGACCCTTTCCTCCTTCCTTTTCCTGGAAATTCCTCTTTCCTTTTCCCTGCCAGGACCTGGATTTAGGACTTGGCTTTTCCACCACAGGAAGAGCTGCAATCTCTGCAGCAGCAGCTTTGTGGGATTTTGCTTCAAGTGCTGCTGAGCTGAGCCTGGGGGTGTCCCCAGCAGAGCCATCAGCTCCAAATTCCCCACCTGGAGACCACCAGAGGACAGGGGAGGTCCTGGGAGATCCTTTGGATCCTGCCTGCAGATCCAGCAGATCCAGCTGGATCCTTTCCCCTGCTCTGAGGTTCATCACATCCAGTCATGGGGCAGGCCTCAGGCAGCCCCAAAACCTCAGGCAGCCCCAAAACCTCCCAGCTCCAGCTCCTGCAGGGATCCAGGGCAGCTCCTGGGGGTGTTCAGTGCCAGGAATGCTGGGCAGGGCAGGACAGGACATGTCCAGCCACAGGGTGGCCTTGCTGGAGCTGTTGAGCTGTGGTTGCTCTAAACTTTGGCTCCCCCTGCACATCTCTGCTTTCCAAGAAGCAATTAGGAGAGGGCTGAATTATTTCTGGAAGCTGGGGAATGTGGCAAAGAGTCAGCAGGAGGGGAGTCTGCATCCAGAGTGGCTTTGGGAGATGGGTGGGCAGGGGCAGGGAAGCACAGGGTGGCTCCAGAGGTGTTGGTGGCTCTGGGGACATGCACAGAAGGTGACAGTGCCTCCTCAACTGGCCAAGTGTCACTGCTGGGGCAGTGAGGGATGGACACCCTGAAGTGACACTCAAACAGGGTGTCAGTCCCTCCCAGTCCCCCACAGTCCCTCCCAGTCCCTGGCAGGATTTTTGACCCCAAAACCTTGCTCTGAGCCTGGAGAGAAGCCAGGAGCAGTCAGGGCCAGCTCTGCTCCGCTCCCACAAACTGATCCATGAAAAGTGCAGGGATGGCATCTCCCCTCAGCCCTACAGAGCCTCTCTGAACTGAGGGAGGGCCATCCTGCAGCATTTTGGGGAGATGGTGAAACTCTGCCGGCTCACAAGGAATTCCAGCCAGGCTCTGGGCCAGACTGGTGGGAAGGGCGAGGACCTGGAGGTCTCATGGGCTGGTATTTGTGGGTCCTTTTGGAGGTCAAAGCCCTGTAGGTGCAGCAATGGGGCTGATGTGCTGTCACCATTGCCCCTAAACATCCCCCAGAGCCCCCTGTGATGAGCCAGGCCCCACATCCCCCCCTCCAAGGGCCTTTTCCACCTGGTCCCCATCAGCAGCAGAGTTATCCCAACATGGACACAAACCCCAAAGCCAAGGCTGTGCTGAGCACACGTGAGCTGTGATTTCCCAATCCTCTGCAAATTGGCCAAATCTGGGAGGATTCTTCTGAAGAAAAACAAGAGGTTTTGTTTTTTTTCCCTCTCCTATTCCATGCTCTATTTACAAATTGTCAAGCCCTGCTGCAAGAAGAGGACTGGAGCTTCCCAAAGCCCAGGCCACCAGAAAAAGGGTGAAAGCAAACCCAAGAAAATCTCAAATTCAGGAGGTAAATTTGGTTCTTTGCCACGTGGAGCAGAGTGCCAGGATATTCTGCCAGGATTTTCCCAGGGGGTTTTGGGCTGGATTTGAGGAGGAGGAGGAGGAGGTGGGGGCACCTACCCATCACTCCACAGGCTGCATCCATGTGAGGGTACTGCAGGGACGAGCGCTTGTACACCACGTGGGGGCTGCCCTTGCCCTCTGCCCCCGTGCTGACGTTGGCTCCAGGGCTCAGGGGCTCGATGAAATATTCCTCCTCATCTGCCACGATCACCCCGTGCTGCAGGAGGGAACAGAGCGTGTGCAAGAGGTTTTACTACAGCCACTTCTGGGAGCCAGAGAGGAGTTTGATCAGAGGATCCATGTTTACCACTGAAAGAATTTCCTACCAAGGTTGCTGACATAGAAACCAAGAAAGAAAGAAGGATAAATAGGAGAAACCTGCAATTATTCCAAGAAACACTTTGTCTCTCATCACCAATAAGTGTAAAGTTATGAGCTTTGTAAGAATGTATAAAAAGCATAAATGCTAGAATAAAACCAGGTTTGAAGCCTTCTGAAAATGCAGTGTTGCATTGTATTGCCTCTGTCTCAGCTATGACAAGAGGGGAGGCAATACCAGAGGTGCACAGAGAACCTGGGGGCTTCTCATGGTGAGGTTTTTGCTGATTGACCCCGGATGAGCTTTGTAAAAATGTATAAAAAGCATTCATGCCTTAATAAAAACATGTTTGACGCCTTCTGAAAATGGAATGTGCTGCTTTGTATTGTTTCTGTCTCAACTACGACAAGAGGGGAGGCAATAGCAGAGGTGCACAAAGAACCTGGTGGCTTCTCACAGTGAGGTTTTTGCTGCTTAACCCCGAATGAGCTTTGTAAGAATGTATAAAAAGCATGCATGCTATAATAAAAAGAGGTTTGAAGCCCTCTGAAAATGGAATGTGTTGCTTTGTATTGTCTCCATCTCAGTTATGACAAGAGGGGAGGCAGTACCAGAGGTGCACAGAGAACCTGGTGGCTTCTCACGGTGAGGTTTTTGCTGATTAACCCCAAATTTCTGGGGACTGGCAGAAGCTGAGGAGGAATCCTGCACAAACACTGAACTACAGGAAGCCACAGAGCAGAGGAAAACCCAGCCAGATGGTGGTGGATGCCTTGGGACATCTGTGTTCACCAAAGTCCTCTGGAAATCACAGCCTTGCCTTGTTGAGTTATGAATGAGCTGTTTCCTATTCCACCCATTTGGTCTCAGTGGGATCCCTGTGGGATCCCAAAACCCCCTTCAAACACAGCAGCACTCAGCTCTGAGCTCAGCCTCCCCCAAAAAAACAAAAAGCAGCTCAGGACCATCCCCAGCAGCTGGGAACTCGGAGCTGCAGAGAGGGGTAAATCCCCAGAGGCTTTGGGAAACACCCCAAATATTTAAAATCCAAAGGCTGCTTAAGCAGAGGCCACCAGCAGAGCCAAACCCCTTCTCTGGAGCCTGGATGGGGCATCCCAGCCCCTTGTACACCTCAGATTGGCCACTCGAGTGAGATCATCTCGGGTTTGCTCCCTGATTTGCTTTAGTTTTTTATTTTTTGATTGATTGAGTCTCAGCTGTGAGCCCAGGCTTTGCTGGTCATCACCAAACCCACCAGGTTCTTGCAGGGTGCCCCCTCTCCACCCTCACAGCAACATTCCCTCTGCCTGAAAGGTCTGAGCAGCACCAGAAGTTTCTGGGAGCCCAGCACCAGCTCCATCCCAGCTCCTGGCACTGAGTTTTTCCAAGGAATGTGGTGGCCACATCAAGGAATGTGGTGTCCCATCAGCTGAACTCCACCAGCAAGCAGAAATGTGCCTGGCATGGCTCAAACATGACCCCAAAAGTCCAACACAGCTCTGGGTGCAGACACACCCCTGCCCTGCCACCAGTGGTGTCCTTTGGATGTGACAGGGCTTGTCTGTCACCGTCACATTTTCTGAAAAATCTCTTTGCCCAGGATTCTGCTCCTGGGAAGCTGAGAAGTCTCAGAGAAAAATGAAAACAATAATTATCTCCTTGCTTCTCCTGTGTTTTGCTGCTTTGGAATGTGGTTTGGACATTGTTTACCAACAGGTGATTGTTTCATTGCTTTCATGTGAATTGTTTTTACTTAATGGCCAATCACCATCCAACTGTGTCAGGGCTCTGGAGAGAACACGAGTTTTTCATTATTATCTTTTAGCCTTCTGTAAGTATCCTTTCTCTATTCTTTAGTATAGTTTAGTTTATATGTATATAAACAATATATATATTTATAAATATATAGTTTATATATATAAACTATATTCATATATTTATAGTATATATATACATAGTTTACTTTAATACTCTTTTATATAATATAGATCATAAAATAATAAATTAACCTTCAAGGACATGGAGTCAGATTCATCATTTCCTCCCTATGATGGGGGTCCCAGAAAATCCCATACTCGTCCAGCTCCCTCTGTGCCCCAGGGACAGGAGTCCTGCCCTGCCAGGGTGGGCAGCAGGGAATTCTGTCCCCATGGAGGTACCCCCTGGAACAGCTTCTGTGCTGGCTGTGGGTGCAAGAACCTCTCTGGGGGAATGTCACTCCCTGCCAGGCTGTCACTGTCCCCTCCCTGGGGACTGTCACTGTCACAGACATCTTTTATGGAAAATCCTTCCTTAGGATTTTTCCTCCTGAGAAGCTGAGAGGCCTCAGGAACAAAATGTAAACAATGATTATCTGCTGCTGTGGAATGCAACAGGTGCATCTGGGATTGACTTATGTTAGTTGTTTCTAATTAATAGCTAATCACAGCCCAGCTGGCTCAGACAGAGAGTCTGAGCCAAAAACTTTTGTTATCATTCTTTCTTATTCTATTCTTAGCTAGCCTTCTGATGAAATCCTTTCTTCTATTCTTTTAGTATAGTTTTAATGTAATATATATCATAAAATAATAAATGAAGCCTTCTGAAACATGGAGTCAGATCCTCATCTCTTCCCTCATCCTGAGACCCCTGTGAACACGGTCACATGTCACTCCCTGCCAGGCTGTCCCTGTCCCCTCTCTGGGCACTGTCACTCCCTTGATTGTCCCTGTGCCCTCTCCTGGGACTGTCCCTGCCAGGCTGTCCCTGTCCCCTCTCTGGGCACTGTCACTCCCTTGATTGTCCCTGTGCCCTCTCCTGGGACTGTCCCTGCCAGGCTGTCCCTGTCCCCTCCCCTGCCAGGCTGTCCCTGTCCCCTCTGTGTCCGAGCTCAATGGCTCACTGTGTGAGCAGTCCCCGAGTGCCGGGGGATTTCCTCCTGCCCCAGGCTCTGCTGCTCTTGGCTCGGCTCCACCTTTCCAAGCACAAGTGAGGTACTGTGATGTTCCCGAGGCCAGGGGAGCCCGGCAGAGCCAGCTGGAAAAGCTTTGTGGGATTTGGGGAAGGAGGTCACCCCCAGCCCAGGGGCAGAGTGAGTCCTGCCCCAAATCCATCCTGCTGCCAAAGGGATGCCCTCACTCCAGCCTCTACAGAGGCTCCACGCCTGCCTGGCACCTTTGTTTTGCAGAGATAACCAAAAACTCTACAACTTTGTGAAAGTTGTGAAGCTGGTATGTTTCTTACAGTGCTGGACGCATGTGGAGATCACTCTCCTTAAAAGACATGCGTACTTCTGGAAATTCAGGTCTCTTTTTATCCCCCTCTCAAATACATATGCATACAATTTCACAATAGGTTCATACATATCCATTTTTATGAATTTTGTGTGATATTTGCTGCTAGTTCTTCTTTATCAGAAAGAATTCCTAGGTCAGGTTGAGCTGCTCTCACAGCAGTCTCTGCCTCTCTCTATCACCCTTTGTCTCTCCCCCTTTATCTCTGTCCTTCACTGAAGCAGTTTCTCTGAGCCCAGGCTTTGCAGTCAGGCTACATAGCTATGTTTTCTAGCCACAGACTCAAAGATGTACATTTCACCTAAATCAAAATGGATTTCTACTTTGGAGAATTTCTACTCTGTCTCACCTTCCAGCAGCGAGGCTTGGATGTCACAGGAGCCTGGGAATTGTCCCATCTCTGACCCCAAGGATTGAGCTGTGAGGGCTGGACATGGACATGACTCAGGGCTGGTGAAGGGGGTGGTGAGAGGTCCTGAGAGAGCTCTGTGGTTTGTGGGGGAGCTGGATATCCTGTGTGTGATTCACACAGGTCAGCTGCAGAGCGACGAGGGTCTGCACTGTCAGCTCATACCACACTTGGCAGAGGCATAGCCACAGCCTGGGGCCAGAGCTGTGTGACTGAGGGGTCATCTGGGTCCATTCCTCCTCATCTGGGTCTGTTCCTCTCCATCTGGGTCTATCCTCCTCATCTGGGTCCATCCCTCCTCACCTGGGTCTGTTCCTCTCCATCTAGGTCCATCCTCCTCATCTGGTTCCATTCTCCCCATGTGGGTCCATCCTCCTCATTTGTGTCTGTCATCCTCATCTGGGTCTATCCTCTTCATCTGGGTCCATTCCTTCCTATCTGGGCCCATTCCTCCTCATCTGGATCTGTTTCTCCTCATCTGGATCTGTTCCTCCCCATCTGGGTCCATCCCCCTCATCTGGATCCATTCTCCCCATCTGGGTCCATTCCTCGCCATCTGGATCTGTTCCTCCCCATCTGGATCTGTTCCTCCCCATCTGGATCTGTTTCTCCTCATCTGGGTCCATCCTCCCCATCTGGATCCATCCTCCTCATTTGGGACCATCCTCCCTATCTGTGTCCATCCTCCTCACCTGTGTCCATCCTCCTCACCTGGGTCCATCCTCCCCATCTGGGTCCATCCTCCTCACCTGTGTCCATCCTCCACATCTGGGTCCATCCTCCTCCTCCTCCTCGCCTCCTCACCTGCCCTGTGAGGCAGTGACAGCCAGGAGGAGCAGATCCCCATGGGGCGATCACCAAACCCACCAGGTTCTTGCAGGGTCCCTCCTCTCTACCCTCACAGCAACATTCCCTCTGTCTGAAAGGTCTGAGCAACACCAGAAGTTTCTGGGAGCCCAGCACCAGCTCCTGGCACTGAGTTTCTCCAAGGAATGTGGTGCCTGGGTCCCTCCAGGCACTCCTGCTCATGCTGGGCTCAGGGGGCTCCCCAGGAAAGCTGCCCCTGAATCCCTGGGAGTGTCCAAGGCCAGGCTGGACAGAGCTTGGAGCACTCTGGGACAGTGGGAGGTGTCCCTGCCCATGGCAGGGGGTGTAATGAGATGAATTTTAGGGTCCTTCCCAACCCAAACCATTCTGGGATTATCTGATGAAGATTTGGCCTTTTGGCTGTTCCTCTGACACAAAGTGGTTCAAAACCAAACCTTGCAGGCGTGGGAATTCCTGAGGATGTGGGAGTTGGAGAGCAGGAGGATGGCCTGGAGCTCATTACTGTGTTCACAGTCACCCCTTTCCCTCCTCCTCGTGCCCAGCTCAGGTCCCAGTTTGTGCCCAGTCACCACCACAGCTCCCAGGTGCCCGTGCAGCATCACCTGTGCAAAGGTGGGGCAGTGCAGTGCCCCCCCAGCAGGAACCTGCACCTGGGGCCCTCTCCTGTCCCTTCCAGGATGGGTGATGCCCTCCTGGAGCAGAACCTGCTGGGGATGAGGGATAGCACGAGTGCATCAGCAGCTCCTGGTCACCCAGAGCACTGCAAAACATCTCTCATGGCAAATCCAGCCCCCTCTCTACCTAAAAACCTCCAGCTATAAACATTCCAGCCCTAGCTAAAAACATTCCTCTCTTCCTAAAAACCTCTACCTCTAGCTAAAAACATTCCAGACTCCTCCTGCCCAAATCCAGCTGAAAACATTCCTGACTCCTCTTGCTCCTATCCGCAGCCCCACTGTCCTCACTGACCCCGCAGCCTTCCTCCCCCATCCTCGCTGTGTCCATCACTCTGGAGGGCAGAAGGACAGAGTTCAGGCAGAGGAGAAATTGTTGGATGACCCTCTGTCCCTCTCTGTGCCTGGCTGCATTCTCCTCCTGACAGCCCTTGGTGCCTCTCCAGAGCTAAACATGGCCTGGGGATGGAATTCTCCCAGTTCCAAGGGCTGCTGGGCCAGTTCAGCCTTTGTGAGCACCACAAAATTCCCTGGGACTGGAGCAGAGCGACCATGTCCAAACAAAGGGCTCTGGAAGCTTTTGTGCAGCTCAGGAGTTTTGTGCAGCTCAGGAGTTTTGTGCAGCTCGGGTTGTTGGCTGTGAGCTGGAAACTTTAGACTCTGTGATATAATGAGTCAGATTCTCATTTTCTGTTAATAACCCACAGCACTGTTCTGGCAGGGTCACCCAGCAATAAATCAAATGGGAATTCATTCCCCTTTGGAAGCTCTTCCACCCTGCCAGAATGCTGCAAGGAGGTGGGGCTGGAATATGAACCTGGAATATGAACCAGAAATATGAACCTGGCCCAAAGAGGCTTTTTCTACCCCTCCAAGGGAGCCATCAGGCTTGGGATCCACTCACGGGGTATGTTTGCTCCATCCCTCCATCTGGCAGCTCAGGGAATGTGCTGTGTGAGCCAGAAATATCAGAAAATCACAGCAAAATAGGGATGGAAGCCCTCAGTCTATTCCCAGGGCTGGGAGAACTAATGAATCATACCTGAAGGGTTTTTGAGAGGCATTTGTCTGGCCTGTTCCTAAAGATCTTCCAAGATCTTGCTCTCTCCAAGCAATCTAGTCCAGAGCTCAGCTGTTCTTGCACTGATGTCCACCACTAAGATTCCTTGCTGATATTTAGGACTGGGATGTTCAATTTGAGCTGTCAGGACTTGGAAAATCAACATTCCCACCCTCCTTCCTGCAGCCTTGCTGGTTTTGAGGAAATGCCACCATGCCCCCTTCCTGATGTTCCATTTTTCCTATTGAAAAACTGATTTTTTCAGAGTTTTTTCTCCCTCAGAAGCAGCATTTTTTAGCTCCTGAAACATGGACAGAACACCTAGGATCCCCAGGAGTGCATCTCTAGCTGGAAAGATCTGGATGCACTTGTGGCCCTGTGAAATCCCTGCCCTCCCTCACTTCTTCCTCACCAGCACAGCAAAACATTCTTTGTTGCTGCTGTTGGAAAAACCTGGTGAGAGCCAGGTCTGGGTATCCCCAGAGAGCAAGGATTGTCCCATTCCAACCAAAATCAATGGGAAAATGCTCAGAAACTGGACTGGAAGTGACACAGAGATCAGCAGAGATCAGGAACCCCCATGGATGTTTGAGGGATGTCTGCACCTCTGCTGATTTCAATGCCAGTGTGGAATATTAAATATAAAAATATAACTATTAAATATAAAATATATTAAATATAAAATATGTATAAACATATAATATATAATATAAAATTTTATATGTATTTTATAGATATTTTATATATTATATTTTATATAATATATTGTATTAATATATAGTTTATATAAAAATATATTTATATCGACATATTAATATTATACTATTTATAAAATGTATACATATGTTTGCTATAGTTTATACATCTAGAATATTATATATAATATTTTAAACTTATATATAATATATAAAATAATATAAAATATATATAATATTTATATTTATTTATATATATAAATATATAAAATAAAGTATAATATAATATATGATAAATATATAAATACAGTATAATATAATAAATAATATATAATAAATATATAATATAAAATTTGTATATTATATATCATATATAACATATATAATATATAATATACAATTTAAATAAAATACAAATATAATGTGTATATATATAAATATATGTAAATATATAATATATACTAATAAAAAATAATACAGAAATATAGAAATATAGAAACATAGAAATATAGAAATATAGAAATATAGAAATATAGAAACATAGAAACATAGAAATATAGAAATATAGAAGCATAGAAATATAGAAACATAGAAATAAGTGGGTTTTTAAAAAATATATTAAATATAAAGCTTGCCACCAACCCCAAGCTTTTCCCACCGCATGGATCCACCTGCTGGAGGACCAAAGCAGCTGGCAGTGCCCCCATCAAGCCAAGCCAAGGCAGACTCACCAGCCCGTTGCAGTTGCTGATGGCCACCTTGGAGCTGAGGTACTGGTCCTGCAGGTGCCCGGCGTAGTGGCAGTCCTCATGGAAGTCGTGCTGCCAGTCCATTCCGTCCCGCTTCCAGTACTCCACGGTGAAGTGCTCGGCCAGCAGGTTGGAGTGCAGGGTGAGGTTGAGCAGGAACTGGGTGTGGTGGGCAGAGACTTTGTAGAAGACCTGCTGCTCCGAGGGCTCGTAGGGCAGCGAGCGCCGCGGCCGTGGCTTCAGCTGGCGGCGCATGTCGAAGGTGAGGAAATCGCCGTTCTGGTCCACTTGGATGGGGAAGGCGATCTCATAGTGATCCAAGCTGGAGAGGAATTCCTCTGGGGAGGGAAGGACACGCATGGGAATGGCAGCCTGCAAAGGGAGTTGGACACCCAGCAATGCCAGCCCGAGTGCAGTGCAGGTGGAGGGTCGTGGTCCTGCCATGGCATTCCAAAAATTGGGATCCCAAGGCTCTGCCCAGCCTGCAGGATCCTGGGTGTCCTGGATTGTCAAGGAAATTGTCTTCTATTTGCCATCTGGATGGCAGTTGTCTCTGTTCAGTGGGCAGTTTCCCTTATCTCTTCCACACCCACTCCTCCCTCAGGGGAGACACCTGCTGATAACAGCCATTGAATGTCACTGCATGGCTGATAAGAACTACAGCATCCCATTGGGAGATGTGAGCCCAGAGGGAGGAGCCAAGCATTCCTGCCTGGATATAATCTGGAGCTTCTGGAACACCAGCACAGTTTCTGCACTGGATTTCCCAGAGGAACAGCAGCTGCCTCTCCTTCCCCTGGATCTTCAGAGGAAGATTCCACCCTTCTCCAGGATCCCTGCTCCAGCAGAACCACCCCTGACACTGCAGGAGGGTTGAGCCACAATTCCAATGGTTCTGCTGCCTGCACCCTGACCCACAGGGTGTCAGGTTGGGGTCTGACTCTGGCAGTGTTGTTTGGTTTACTGCATTGTTTATTTTATCCTTTTATTTTCTTCCCTAATAAAGAACTGTTATTTCCTGCTCCCATATCTTTGCCTGAGAGCCCCTTAATTTAACATTTATAGGAGTTTGGAGGGAGGGGGTTTACATTTCCCATTTCAGGGGAAGCTCCTGCCTTCCTTAGCATACACCTGGCTTTCCAAACCAAGACACAGCCTCCAAAGGGAGTTGGCCACCCAGCAATGCCAGCCTGAGTGCAGTGCAGGTGGAGGGTCATGGTCCTGCCACAGCATTCCAAGAACTGGGATCCCAAGGCTCTGCCCAGCCTGCAGGATCCTGGGAAATTCCCCAAACACTGCAGCCTGCAGAGCCTTGGGATAGCAGTTTTTGGAATGTAGCTTTTTCCTCTGCAGGTGATGGAGAGGAAGAGCCTGACCCAAAGGGCTCTTCAGGACACCCCTGTTGTGGCTCTGGACCTGGAGTATCCCAAATCCTTTCATCTCCACTGGGCAGAGGGAATCCCAGTTTTGCAGAGTCCAGCTCTGAGCTTTGGAGGGTTATTTTAACCTGGATCTTTCCAGGGACAGACCCAGCACTGAAGTCTCTTCAAAAGGAGGCAGAAGGAGCCTTGGGGTGACAATGACTCAGGGGAAAATTTTATTTAATTTTCTCCCTGTGGATTCCTCAGGACATCTGCAGCTGCCACAGGGAGCTGCTGGCTCTGAGAACACAAAACAACAGCACCGCCCCAGCCACCCCTGCAGGCAGAGCTGCAGGGGCACGGAGTCCTTGAAATGCCAATCTTGACATCAAAATAAGAGAGAGGGAAACCAGAATTTCTCCAGTGGTGCTGAAAATGAGCAGGAGGAGAAGTCAGACGTCCCAATTGCCCAGCCAGGTCTCTGCCTGTGACCCCAGCCTGCCTTCCCAGCTCCCTGGATTGGTTTTTATCACCTCAGCCTGGCTTAGCAGCTCCTCTTGGGGCCCTTGAGCTGAGCCTGTGTGGTGGCACCCAGGCTGTGCTGTGACAAGGTCACTGTCCCCAGCCCCTCCACCTGTGCTGGCACAGCTCTGCAGGCTGCCAAACAAACTGGAACCCTGCAACCTCAGCAGAAACTCCTCCTTTTCAAAGGAAAATGTCCCAGGGACAGCAAGATTGGATCTGAGCAGAGATCTGGTGCTGGAGCCCTGGCTGCTGAGAATTTCAGATTTTCTGTGCTGCCAGGCACTGACCCCCAAGAGAACACTGCATTGACCTGAGGCCGTGGAGAAGCTTCCAAAATGGAATGACAGAGCTGGGATTGTGGGAGTGGAGTTTGAATAGAAGTGTGTGATATCACAGGGTGGGAAACTTAGAGTGGAAGGTTTTAGAATGTAATAATATAGATAAAGCAAGATGGAGGTTTTAGGGTGGAGGCTGGTCCTTCTTCTTCACCTTCTTCTTCACCTCCTCCTCCTCTTCTTCCTCCTCCTCCTTCTTCTTTCTTCTTCTTCAGCTTCTTCTTCTTCTTCTTCTCCTCCTTCACCTTCTCCTCCACGGGTTTGGGTGGTTTTGTGTAATTGGATAAAAAAGTCCACGTTATGAGCCATGGGTGGTTGGTTATTGGGTTAAAAGTAAAAATAATTTAGGTGTCATTTCTTAATTGGACAGTTTATCCTTAAAAGGCCTTGTAGAGAGAGAGGTGGGGCTCCATTTTTAGTTTGTTAGAGTGAAATGCTGTAGAGCTCAGGGTTTGTGAGACTGTGACATAGATAAGAACTGATAAACATCTGAGTCTGAACAAGAAACTCTGTCTTGAGTGCTTTCAATCTTGACTCTGACAGAGGCAGAAAAGAAGCAAAGGAACTGACAATCTGGCTCTGTTTGACAGCCCTCAGCCCCAGAGGCTGGGGCTGAAAATGGGAAATATCCATGTGCTGGACCAGGACAGCTCCTCCTCACTGAGTGTCCTCTTGAACCCCTCGTGCCTGGAGGGTTTGAGCCTCCTGAGCTTTCATGGGAGGAGATTTTCCCTCTGCTCCCTCTGGAAAAATCTTTCTGTGCTTTTTCATCCCACTTGTTGTTGTTTCCTAAGCAAGCAGGAGGGGCCTGGCTGCTCCAGGGTGGCTGAATTTTGCCAGCCCCCACCTTCAGAGTTTTCCCAGCCATCAGAAACTCAGCCAGCTCCAAACTGCACTCTCACCACAGGGCAGCACTGGAAAGTTTCCTTTTCCTCTGTTTTCCAGTGTGGGAGCCTGACAGAGTGGTTTCCTTGGCCACCAGGAATGGGACAGCCTTTCCACCCTCTGGGATTAGGGCTGAGCTCCCATCCTTCCCAACCATAAATACTCCTGGCACCTCTGAGTTGCCAGAATTAATTATTAGGGTTCTAAATTCCCATGCTCCAGCTTTTCCTCCATCCCAGCACCTCCCTGTGATGGGGCTGGGCAAACAAGGGTGACTTTTTGCACTCAGAAATTACTTCAGGCTTGGAAAAATTTGCTGTTGGAAGTGTTTTGTTTTCCTTTTTGCCTCTTTGCAATCCACGTGGGCTTGAAAAAGAATGAATCAGAGGGTGTTTTGTGCTCACTGTGGCTACAAAGCACCTGGGACTGGGGGCTGGAGGCTCTGATCCTGACCTGAAAAGCACTTCCAGGAGGAAGAAGTGGCTCACAGGATGACGTGGCTCCCTGATCACCTACTGAGAACTTTGTTTCTTTCCTATAACCAATGCACAATGTGTATGTTAAGTGAATGTAAATATCTTGAAAACGTATAAAAGCAACATGTTGCTGTAATAAAACTCTCTTGCACCCTTCTGATGGAGTCGTGGTACTTTGTGCTGTGTCGTGCTCTATAATGACACCATCCTGTCCCATCCCATCCCATTCCATGGATCCCATCCCATGGATCCCATCCCATGGATCCCATCCCATCCCATCTCATGGATCCCATCCCATGGATCCCATCCCATCCCATCCCATCCCATCCCATCCCATCCCATCCCATGGATCCCATCCCATCTCATGGATCCCATCCCATCCCATGGATCCCATCCCATGGATCCCATCCCATCCCACCCCATCCCTACCTTGTGACTGGAAGGGGAAGCCGGGGAAGGTGCCCCCGGCCAGGCCGAGGGTGAGGGTCCAGGTGAGGAGCCTCCAAGCTGTGGCCATGGTCAGCGCCGCTCGTGTCGGAGCAGGGAGATCTGTGCCGGCTGGGAGGGCGCTGTCCCCACATGTCTCTCCCTCGGCCACCCCCTATGTCCAGAGAGGAGTCCCGGGTCCCTCCGCAGGCATCCTTGGCTGCTCCGTGCTCTCCTGAGGCTGGCGGGGGGTGGCAGTGCCAGGCCAGCACCGCGGGGTCAGCACGGGCTCGTCCCCAGCCCCGGCATCGCCCCTGTGGGGGAGTGTCACAGACATCTTTTATGAAAAACTCTTTCCTTAGGATTTTTTCTCCTGAGAAGCTGAGAGGCCTCAGGAACACAATGTAAACAATGATTATCTACTGCTGTGGAATGCAACAGGTGCATCTGTGATTGGTCTCATGTTTTTCTCATGTTGTTTGTAATTAATGGCCAATCACAGCCCAGCTGGCTCAGACTCTCTGTCCGAGACACAAGCCTTTGTTATCATTCCTTCCTATTCTATTCTTAGCCAGCCTTCTGATGAAATCTTTTCCTCTATTCTTTTAGTATAGTTTTAATATAATATATATCATAAAATAATAAATCAAGCCTTCTGAAACATGGAGTCACATCCTCGTCTCTTCCCTCATCCTCAGACCCCTGTGAACGCTGTCACAGGGAAGAGAGGCATGAGTGAAGGGATGGAGGAGAAGGACTCGAGGCAGGCAGGGAAATGAGGAAAGCGGGATCCTGGAGAAGGCAGGAGTGGGATGGAAGGAGAGGAAAAGAGGAGAAAAGGATGGGAAGGGTTTGAGGATGGATTATCCCCATCAGCTCTGTACTGCACTCCCAGAATTCTCGCAGCTGGTACCTGCAGAAAGGGGCTCAGGATCAATGGGAATCCCTTATCCTGTGGCAGCACCCTCTGGGAAAAGCAGCCCAAAGAGTGCCCTGGGTCACCTGATCCCTTAAAGAGAGCAGGAAATAACAGCACTGGCAGGGGCGTGGTGAGCAGCAACCCAGAAATCCTCTCTGGGGCTTCCTTCGATTTCAAACACACTTTAAGGACTATCACCGCACTGAGGGAAGAGCACTCGCTCTCAAAGTGTACTGGCTGAACCTAAAAAAGTGATGGAAAACAAAGAACCCATTCAGGAAACTCACCCTCAACCCCATCCACAAATGGATCCCGAGATTCCAATCACATTTGTTCTTTAAAACGCTCTGCTAATTGCTCTGGTGAAAGATTCCTGGCTCGCAGAGAATTTCCACTGAGTCTGAGGCGATTACAACAAACTCGAATCGTGCTGGGGACTTGCACAAAGCCTGTGGGGTTTTCTTCTTGCCCACCCACTCCATGAGTACGGGATGAGTGCAGCACATCCCAGAGAATCCCAAATATCCCAGCGGTGACGCTGCAGAGCATGACCCAGCAGCCAAACCCAAACCTCCCTGCAGGGGTGGCAGATCCCACGGGCTGGAGCAGGGCTGGGAAAGGCAGGATGAGCTCCCCGGGATGAGCTCCTAGGAACGGCAGAATGAGCTCCCCGGGAATGGCAGGATGAGATCCTTGGGAAAGGCAGGATGAGCTCCCCGGGATGAGCTCCCGGGAACGGCAGGATGAGATCCTTGGGAATGGTGGGATAAGCTCCCCAGAAAAGGTGGGGTGAGCTCCCTGGGAAAGCGGGATGAGCTCCCTGGAAAGGCAGGACAAGATCCCTGGAAAAGATGGGATGAGCTCCCCATGAAAGGAGGGATGAGCACCCCGGGAAAGGTGGGATGAGCTCCCCAGGAACAGCCAGATGAGCTCCCCGGGAAAGGCAGGATGAGATTATGAGATTCCCAGGAAAGGCAGGAAGAGCTCCTGGAAAAGTGGGATGAGCTTCCCGTGAAAGGTGGGATGAGCTCCCAGGAAAAGCAGGATGAACTCCCCAGGATGATCTCCTTGGGAAAGGCAGAATGAGCTCCCCAGCAATGGCAGGATGATTTCCCAGGGATGGCAGGATGAGCTCCCCATGAAAGGCAGGATGAGCTCCCCAGACATGGCAGGATGAGCTCCCCATGAAAGGCAGGATGAGCTCCCTGGGAACGTGGGATGAGCTCCCGAGCATGGGAAGAGGCTGGAGATGGGAGGAGGGTGCCCTTTGCAAAGGTGTCAGCACAGCCAGGGCCTGTGTGTGGTCCTCATCCAGTAGGGAAACGCTTAACCCCTGCCTTGCTGTGCTCTGGGCTGGTTTAAACAGCCCAGGGCAGGGAAGCTGGGTCCTCCTGGGATCTGCCCTGCTCCCCTCCGTGTCCTTATGGGAATCTGAATCCCTGAAAGTGAGTTTCTGCTCCTGTTTTCCCATCTTTACTGTGCCATGAATGGTATTTGTGCTGCAGGAATGACACCCAGCACAGCCCAGAGGTGGTGTAGGGGAAGTACAAGGGGAAGTCCAGGAGATGATTCCTGCCCCAAATTTTTCATGGAAATTGCAGACTGGTTTGGGTTGGGAAGGACCTTACAGCTCAACTCATTCCACAGAGGCAGGGACACCTCCCACTGTCCCAGGCTGCTCCAAGCCCCATCCAGCCTGGCCTGGGACACTTCCAGGGATCCAGGGGCAGCCACAGCTGCTCTAGGCAACCTCACAGGGAAGGATTTCTTCCTAAAATCTCATCTGAATCTCCCCTCCTTCAGCTTAAAGCCATTAACCTAAATTAATGGGTTTTTTTCCCTACTAGTCAGAAACAGTGGGAGATGAAACACGCAGCTTTAAACACAATTCAGAGTTGCACAATTTAAAGATTAAAATAGATTAAGATTTTTCACTGCTTATTTACAGTTAAGAATGGCCAAAGATCCTCAGTGAGTCCTCGGCCTGGACTCCCCAGTCCAGAAAGAAAATTTTATAGTTAAGAATTAATAAACAACCTCAGGACCAAAAAGTGAAGAGTCCAGACTCGTTCTGCAGTTGTGCAAGCCAAAGCAGAGACATCCTGCACATCTCGGGGCAGCAAATATCAACAGCAACCCAAGATGGGGGGAAGAGGGTTGGGGCAGGAATTCTGCCCTGTTCCACCCCAAAAAGAGGATGCTGAGATCCGGTGACAGCATCCCCTGGGGTGCCACAGCGAGGGCAGAGCCAGGGCCAGGCAAAGCACGTGGGGGCTGTGGGAATTGGACTGGAAAAGGGAGAAGTTGCAAGCAAAGCTCTCTCCTAAAGCATTTTTTAGCATGAAAAATCTCCCAAAACTCGAGATTCCAGCTTTTCAATCCTGTCATGGCTCCAAAACCCACGGAGCCCAGCTAAAGTGTTGTCAAAGATTGCAAGGCAAGATGTTTTCCATTGCCATCAGTATGGCAGATTACCTTTGTCAAGTGGGCAGTTTGCCTTATCTCTCTCTTTGAGTGACCACATTCACACCTCCCTCGGGAGGGGACATCTGCTGATAACAGCCATTGAATGTCCTTGCATGGCTGATAAGAACTACAGCATCCCATTGGGAGATGGGAGCCCAGAGGGAGGAGCCAAGCATTGCTACCCAGATATAATCCAGAGGTTTTGAGACATCAGCACGGCTTCTCCACTGGATTCCCCAGAGGAGCAGCAGCTGCCTCTCCTTCCACTGGATCTTCAAAGGCAGAATCCATCCTTCTCTACAGGATCCCTGCTCCAGCAGAACCAGCCCTGACACTGCAGGAGGGCTGAGCCACAATTCCAATGGTTCTGCTGCCAGCACCCTGACCCACAGGGTGTCAGGTTGTGTTCTGACTCTGGCAGTGTTGGTTTAGTTCACTGCATTGTTTATTTTATCCTTTTTTTTTTCTTTCCCTAATAAAGAACTGTTATTTCCTGCTCCCATATTTTTGCCTGAGAGCCCCCTTAATTTAAAATTCATAGCAATTTGGAGGAGTGGGGAGGGCTCACATTCTCCATTTCAGAGGAAGCTCCTGCCTTCCTGAGCAGACTCCTGTCTTTCCAAACCAAGACAAGTGTACTTTCTCCTGGGCTTCACACGACTGATTTCCCCTGTTTTCCAGCTGTCAAACCCTTTTCCTCCAGGCTTCCCGTCCTCCCCCCTCCTCTCCATGACCCTCCCCATGTCCCCCCTGCCCTTCCCGGCCACTCAGCATCCCCCAGAACCGCAGCCGGGAAGGAGCCCCGGCGCCAGGAGCCGCAGCCTTGACCCTGGGGGAAGGAGACGCGTTGGGAGCAGCGCAAGGCAGGAATTACAACTGCAAAAAATTCCTGCAGGCCGGGCTGGGGGAAGGGCCAGCTGTGATCCCTCCCTGCAGGCAGCAGGGAAAACATGGCCCCTGCCCAGCGGGGCTTCATTCCCAGAGCCCGAGGAGTGGGAGGAGCACCTGGGGGAAGGTGTTCTCCTCACAGGTGGATCCTTGTACCTCTCCCCATGGGTAGATCCAGCTCTGAGGAGCAGGAGGAAGGTGTTCTTCCCATGGGTGAATCCTTGTTCCTCTCCCCAAGGGTAGATCCAGCTCTGAGGAGCACCTGGAGGAAGGTGTTCTCCTCCCAGGTGAGTCCTGCTCCTATGGGTGGGTCAGGCTCTAAGGAGCAGGAGGAGCACCTGGAGGAAGGTGTTCTCCAGACAGGTGAATCCTTGCTCCTCTCCCCATGGGTGGATCCAGTTCTGAGGAGCAGAAGGAACATGTTCTCCCCACGGGGGGATCCTGCTCTTCTCCCCATGGGCAGATGAGGCTCCAAGGAGCACCCAGGGGATGGTGTTCTCCTCACAGATGATTCCTGCCCCTTTCCCCACAGGTGGATCAGGCTCTGAGGAGCATCAGAAGGAAGGTGTTCTCCTCACGGGTGAACCCTGCTCCTCTCCCCACGAGCGGATCCAGCTCCCAGGAGCAGGAGGAGCAGTCAAAGGAAGGCCCAGGAGCCTGAGGAACTCTGGTGCTTCCATCCCTACCAAGATTTCCATAACCTCACTGTGCAGCTCGCAGGACGATCCCGAGGATCACAGAGACCCGGTGGGACACGGGGGTGCCATGGGCCAGGCTGGACAGTTTGGGGACAGCTCGGGTGTTGGGGAAGATGAAAC